GTGCTAGAATTTATGAAGAACCCTAAAATTAAGCATTCCCCTAATCAATCATCCAATAAGCCAGTGGGCAAATGAACAAACAGTTCTCAAAAGAAGAAATACAGATGGCCAGTAAATATTTGAGGAAATGTTCAACATGAACATGCTGAGTTACTAGGGAAATGCCAATTAAAACTGCTTTCAGATTGCTAACAGAATGACTTTTGTCAAGAAAACGAGGAAAAGGCTCTGGGGAGAACTGAAGAGGGGTGCTGCTGCTGGGCTGTGAACTGTGGACATGGAGGTTCCTCGACCCGGAAGATGGTGTCCAGCTGTCACCCTGCTGGGTCTATACCTAGAGGAGTCTAAGCAGCATCATGACTTCAGAAGCACGAGTCACAGTAATTGAGTATAGTATAGAACCACCCTTGATGCCCATCAGCAAATGAGTGAAGGAAAATGGGGCACATATACGCAATGCAGTTTTGTTCATCCGTTTAAAAAAAGAATGATTTTTATGTTGTTTCTAGAAAAGTGGATGGACCAGAAATCATGTTAAGTGAAATTAGCCAGATTCAAAAAGCCAAATGCCGTATTTTCTGTCCTATGTAGAATCTAGGTTTTCTATTACATAGAAAACCTGAAATGGGTTTCAATTAAAGCCACATCCCCAAGCTCCTTCATCTGGCAGATGCTCTGTTATGTGCGTATACTGGGAAGACAGAAGAGGTCCCAGCCCTGTATATTGTGCAGGTTGAAGTGGCCCGTCCTCTGCCAGTGTCTAGTTGTTGTGTTGTACACCTTGATTGTGTGCAGAGAAAGTTGTATTGTGGCGTAAAAAGTGTCTTCCCTTACTTGTTAGTGAAGTAGAGGTTGTTACAGCCCCCTTGGAAAAGAATCTTGCAAAATGTATTTTTAAGAACCAGCCCTTTGCCAGACCGTGTGACACACGCCTTTGATCCCAGCACTTGGGAAGCAGAGGCAGGAGGTTTGCTGTGAGTACAAGACCAGCCTGGTTTACAAAGCAAGTTCCAGGACAGCCAGAGCTACACAGAAAAATCCTGTCTCGAAAAACAAAAACAAAAACAAAAGGACCAGCCCTGCAGGCTGTGCAAGGCTGTGGTTTCAGCCCCTCTAAAGCCAAACCAACCATCACACCCCAGCCCCCTTAGAGTTCTGTCTGTAAGGGTTTTCTTGTGTTTGTGTGTGTGTGTGGAGACTAGAGTCCGATGTTGACTTCTTCTGCTTTGTTACTTTCTGCAGATGCAGCTGGCTGGGGTAGCACAGGAGCAGAGGCAGGAGAGTCTGAATTGCAGACCTGCCCGTCTAACATAATGGGTTCCAGGCAGTCAGGGGTGCATAATGAAACCTTGCCTCAAAAATCAAACAAAATGCACTTATTTTTGTTTTATGATTATGAGTGTTTGCATTCATGTATTTATGTGTGTCGTATGTATTCCTGGTACATGGATCAGCCAGAAGAGGGCATAGGATCCCCTGGAAAGTGTCGGTATGCTGGGAGCTGAATTTGGGTCCTCTGGAGGAGTCGCCAGTGTTTTAATGCTGAGTCATCTCTGCAGTGCCCCTCCCCCCACTGGTTTTTAAAGATGTCTGGTTGAGCTTTTAAAAGGCCAAAATAGCTTTTAGTTAGTTGGGGATGGGTTTACTCTTTAGTTAAGTAGGGTGGGATTACTCTTTAGTTAGCTAGGGTGGGTTTACTCTTTAGTTAGTTAGGGTGGGTTTACTCTCTAGTTAGCTAGGGTGGTTTACTCTCTAGTTAGCTAGGGTGGGTTTACTCTTTAGTTAGTTAGGGTGGGTTTACTCTCTAGTTAGCTAGGGTGGGTTTACTCTCTAGTTAGTTAGGGTGGGTTTACTCTCTAGTTAGCTAGGGTGGGTTTACTCTTTAGTTAGTTAGGGTGGGTTTACTCTCTAGTTAGCTAGGGTGGGTTTACTCTCTAGTTAGTTAGGGTGGGTTTACTCTTTAGTTAGTTAGGGTGGGTTTACTCTCTAGTTAGCTAGGGTGGGTTTACTCTTTAGTTAGTTAGGGTGGGTTTACTCTTTAGTTAGTTAGGGTGGGTTTACTCTCTAGTTAGCTAGGGTGGGTTTACTCTTTAGTTAGTTAGGGTGGGTTTACTCTCTAGTTAGCTAGGGTGGGTTTACTCTCTAGTTAGTTAGGGTGGGTTTACTCTCTAGTTAGTTAGGGTGGGTTTACTCTCTAGTTAGTTAGGGTGGGTTTACTCTCTAGTTAGTTAGGGTGGGCTTACTCTCTAGTTAGTTAGGGTGGGATTACTCTTTAGTTAGTTAGGGTGGGTTTACTCTAGTTAGTTAGGGTGGGTTTACTCTTTAGTTAGTTAGGGTGGGCTTACTCTCTAGTTAGTTAGGGTGGGATTACTCTTTAGTTAGTTAGGGTGGGATTACTCTCTAGTTAGTTAGGGTGGTTTACTCTCTAGTTAGTTAGGGTGGGCTTACTCTTTAGTTAGTTAGGGTGGGCTTACTCTTTAGTTAGCTAGGGTGGGTTTACTCCTCTTGCTGAGGCGCTGTACCTTAGTGCTGTGCTCCTGGTGTGAGCAGTCTCCCGGCTGTGGCTGGTGGGGACACGTGCAGCCTTGCTAGGCTTGGGAAGAATGGTCTTCCCTGCTCCAGCCTGCGGCCTTGTGCTTGGTCTTAACTCAGTGATAGCAGCCATACAGTTTTCCAGAGCTAGTTATCATCTGTTCTTCTCTCTGGGAACCGTACTCTGTGAGCTCTAATCACCCAAGCTCCCCAAATCCTCTGTTGTCTCTTCAACTCTGAGACCATCCTGTTAGCGGCTCACCCTCACTGCTCTGACACTTGGAAGTTCCCTCCAGGCTCAGAGGGGCCGTCATAGAGTTCTGTCTCATTTTCATTTTGTTGGGATCACTGCTCTATACTGTGTACTGTCGGCACCTAAAAACCGTTGCTTATTTGTTTTGTTTGTTTTCTTCTGTAGTTAAAGTAAGAGAGTAATTGAATTGAATCCAGCTCTCCCTCGACTGGTAATACACGTACTTAGGTGTATAAAGGAGAGGAGAGATGAGAAATGGGTAAAAGGTTGCTAAACATTATCTTAAAAACACAAGTAAGAACACTAACAACTGTTTAAATTGAACTTCATGCCCTGAAGTCTACAGTGTGATTTACTTAATAATTTTTCAAAATTTAAAAACTATTGCCATTGTTTTTATCTGTTTATTGTCTGTGTGTGTGTGTAAGTCAAAGACAACTGTAAATGGACGTAGTATTAAACTGACTACTAACAACTTATTGCTCTACCCATAGATTAATATACCTCATCTTTATTTTTTGTTTTGGATTTTGGTTTTTGAAGACAGGGTTTCTCTGTGTAGTCCCGGCTGTCCTGGAATGCTGTAAACTAGGCTGGCCTTGAAATCGCAAGAATTCTGCTTCTGCTTTTTTTTTTTTTTTTTTTGGTTTTTACGAGACAGAGTTTCTCTGTATTGTTTTGGAGGCTGTCGGTCCAGCCCAGCCTCAAACTCACAGAGATCCGCCTGCCTCTGCCTCCCAAGTGCTGGAATTAAAGGCGTGCGCCACCACCACCCGGCTCCTGCCTCTGCTTCTTGAGTGCTGGGGTTAAAAGCATGCATCACCATCACCCAGCTGATTAATACATCTCTTAATCTATAAGGAGTCTTTCTCTGTCCCACCAGCCCCCAAATAATGATATGAAGACTTATTAATTATTGAAAGCTTGGCCTATAGCTTGTTTCTAACTAGCTCCTATATTTTAAATTAACGCATTTATATCGTCTGTATTCTGTCATATGGCTGTGGCTGTTACCTTCCCTACTGCACATCCTGCTTGCCTTGTCTCCTCACGCCCCACCGTTCTTCCCAGAGTCCTCTCTGTTCTTGGAAGTCCTGCCTAACCTCTTCCTGCCTAGCTTTTGTCTGCTCAGCTCTTCATTAACCCAGTCAGAAGGTGCCTTGGCAAAGACACGGCTTCACAGTGTAGACAAATATCCCACCACATCGACCCTCATCAGAGAAATGCTTTTTGTAGTAGACCCACAACTGTTAGAGATACTGAGAATAAGAGACTGCAGAACGCTTAGTCCCAGAGGGGTAGCTGTAGCATCCTCCTCCTCCTCCAGAGGCTTCGGGTCACTCTGGAGAGCCCGTGGGGACGACGAAAAGGGAACAGTGTTTTCTGGAAACAGCAGGGCAGCCAGCTGCACGTAAGAACACAACAGTGGTGATGACAGCATGTATAAGACCTGTGTAATCTTAGGCCAGACCAGATCCCAGCATTAAAGTGGAGTCAGCGCGAAGTTCCTAGCTGAGGCGTTGGCAGTCAGTAGCTGCTAGCCGACGGTGAGTCAGCCAGGAAGGTCACATATCCAAAAGTGAATAAGTAGGGGGCACAAACCGCATTTGGTGGGTGGCTTTTTGTTGTAGTTGTTTTTTGTTTTAGTTTTTCGAGACAGGGTTTTTCTGTGTAACAGCTCTGGTTGTCCTGGAACTAGCTCTGTAGACCAGGATGGCCTTGAACTCTTCCCAGATCCACCTCTTCTTCCCAACCCACCCATAGCTGTCTGTTTTTTTTCTTTAAAGAAACACCTATTGCCAGTGGTGGCGGCACACACCTTTAATCCAGCACTTGGGAGACAGAGGCAGGCAGAGCTCTGTGAGTTTGAGGCCAGCCTGGTCTACAGAGCGAGTTCCAGGACAGCCAGGGCTGCACAGAGAAACCCTGTCTGGAAAAACCAAACCAAACCACACCAAAAAACAACCAAAATACAATGCTAGCGCAGTGGGACACTGGAGGCAGAGATGACCCACTGTAAGTTCCAGGACAGTCTGGTCTACACAGTGAGTGCAACTTTGTCTATATGAGAAACCAGTCAGTCAGTCAACCAGTAACCAGTCTCAGGTGCAATGACCATTCTTTGCAGGTAGCGCGTATGTGTTTATTTCATCTTTTGCTTTAATCATGTTTAGCATGTTAAATTTTGTAATTTTTTGGATTATTTTTCCTGTAGGTATTGCCTGATTTGGAAAACCTTGAGAAATTGGGAAAAATTGTGAGAAAATGACGACTTTTCGAAATCATTGTCCACATTTGGATTCCGTTGGTGAAATAACAAAAGAGGATTTGATACAGAAATCTCATGTAAGTTACAGAGTAATTGTCCTTAGAAACATACTCGCTTTCCTCTTTAATATAAATTTAGTAAATTAATAGAATACGCTGTCATATTAAGACATACATGTTTTATGTGAACTGTGTGTGTTTTCTCTAACACATCGCATCTCTCCTGTGTGTCCTTTTCTAGGGTGCTTGTCAGGACTGTAAAGTCAGAGGACCCAATCTGTGGGCATGCCTGGAGGTATGTGTGGACATTTACAGATGTTTTTCCTGAAAAGTTTGCTATTCTAAATTTATACAGGTTAAGAACAATTTTTTACGCATAAAAGAATTTTATGTGAATATACTTTTAAAACATAACAAAAAAAATAAGGTTGAAGCTTTGCATGGATTTTAATTCAGGTAGCCTGTAGAGTCTTTAGTAAAATACTCAGATATTTTCATCTTTAATTTTATTGAAGTTGAGATAACTTTCAGTTTTGAATTACTTCATCTGGTCTGTGCTTGATACCTTAGAGTTATGTTATCTAACTATGGAAAGTAATGTAATCATTGAATTAAAGTATAAAATCAAAACCTAAGTGTAGATATTATTGTAATGCTATCTGTAAACTTAACATGTCTGTGGTAAAGTACTTTCCTTCTTCTGACAGAATCGGTGTTCCTACGTTGGCTGTGGAGAGTCACAAGTTGATCATAGCACCATACACTCACAGGTATGTGTGTAGTAGTTGGACACGTGGCAGTTGCTGCTCTGGGGATCGGATCCAGGGCTGTGCACACCAAGCATGCACTTTGTCACTGAGCTAAATCCTAGCCGTGGGAGGAAACTTTGGGAAGCACTGGAAGGACAGGGGAGTCAGTGTAGCATTAATGAAGGTGAGACAGGAGTTGGTGAGGTGTTTGCGATCAGGTGTAGCCAGCCTAGCCTGGCCTAGAATTTGGAGTCTTCCTTATGCCTCTAGACGTCCCCCTACAGATGTGTGACACCACACCCGCCTAGAGCTTTTGCGTTTTAGAAATTATATAAGCTAAAACTTTGAAAGGTTGTGTGTGTGAGGCAGCGTTGCTAAGAAAATGGGTATTAACACGTGACTGTAGTTGAGTATTGATAAAAGAAGTATATGAGAATATGTGTGGAGGTATCAGATTATGGAGGTTGAAGTTAGTGTAGATGTATAGGTTTCTGTTTGTTTTAAAATTTGATAATTTTTATTAGTGTGTGTCGGAGGCACGTGTGTGGAGGTCAGGGGACACCTTTGGAGTTGGTTCTGTCCTTCCTCTGGGGTCTGAGCTCAGGTTGACAAGCTTGTGCCAAGCGCCTTTTCCTTCTGTGCTATCTTGCTGGCCTGGCGACCTTACTTGTGTTCCAGCTCTTGCCCTGTCCCCTGCCACACGTACCGTTCTGAGTGGAGTGCCGTCTATCTAGGTTGTGTGGACTTCCCGTGGGACTCTGACGCGTCTTCAGTAGTGTTAGGTAGATCCTGCATTCTAAACCCTAGGTCTCTCTGATGAGAGCTATCAGAAGATGCCCATTGGCACTCTGCAGCAGCCTCTCAGCCACGCCTCCCCGTGAGACTGAGTGAGCCCCAGTGTTGGAAGCCCTGTACAGTCTCCTTCCCTGGGCTTTGATGGCTTAGCGCATGATCATTCCAGCTGCTAGGATTCAGGGCCTCACTCTACTGGTTTCCTCATCCTCCTGCTCCTGTTTGCAGAGCCTCTGGAGGAGCTTCCCCGTTGTGCTCGTCTGTGTCTTGTGAGTGAGGGAGACAGATGCCAGAACAGCTTCAGGAGTAGGCTGGGTGTCGTCACCGTGTCAGAGTCTAGAGTTCATCTACAGGGTCTCTGGTGTCTGTCTGTCTGTGTGCGTTCTACATTAGTTCTGCCGAGTAGACTGTTGCTTGCTTGCCAGGGGCGGGTGCCTCATCCCGCGTTCCTTCGCAGACGCTTTTCCAAGTATATTAATGGCGGCTCCTTTTCCTTCCTGTGAGCTGTGCAGGAGACAAAGCATCACCTGACTGTGAACCTCACCACTCTTCGAGTGTGGTGTTACGCTTGCAGCAAAGAAGTGTTTCTGGATAGAAAATTAGGAACTCCTTCTTCATTGCCTCATGTAAGACAACCTCAACAAACACAAGAAAACAGTGTGCAGGTAATCTGAGTTTACATAATAATGAGTGAGAGGTGAGGGTGGGACTCAGGTGAAATCCCCTGTGAATTGCAAACGCTCTTTGAGAAAAGGTCGAAAGGGATATCCCATACCAGGTACAAGGTTTTCAGTAGTGGTCCATGCACACTGCCTGTGTTCAAGTTCCGATAAAAATGTTTTTATTAGCTTACAAAGTAGTAGGTTTCCATACAGCTTTTTGTAAATACTTCTCTCTTTCTGCAAATTTGAATCTAGGAAGGGGGGGGACTTCTTGGCAGCTGGTGTGAATACAGCCCCTTTCCTGTTCTTTCCCCCTGGCAGCCTGTCATTTGCTGTTAACCCTAAAAACTAGCAGAGACGCTACATTTTAGCAGCAGTATTAACTTTGTCCTTTGGACCAAGAGACTTAGCAAGCATGTTTGCAAAGATGGATGACTCGTTCACAGAAGTCTCTGCTGTGTGTGTCATCACGTGTGTGTATGACCAGCACAGTAGTGCGCAGAGACACGGTGGCCTGTGGATGGGCTCATTGGTCACATCCTTTGTTTCTGCAGACGTTACAGAGGTCAGAAAGACGAGGCATGCCTCTAATTGAGATAAAATAGTTCTTGAGCTTAAATTCAGAAATGCCATTTATAAAGTGTTCTTTGGGGACTGGCAGAGGACCTGAGTTTGGTTTCTAGCACCTGTACTGGGTGACTTAAAACTACCTATGACTCCAGCTCCTGGGGGTCTGGCCTTTTCTGCACCTGTACTCACATGTACGTGTATATGCTCACATAGACCTACACATATACAACTAAAAATAAAAAGCATGCTTTTGTAGATACTTATTTCCTGTAAAATATAAATGTAAATTTTTTAATGATTGCTAGTGCCATAAACTCTTAGGGTTCTATCTTTATCACTGTTGTTACGTTTATTTTTTAACTTTTAAAATTATCTGGATGTGTGTCCATGTGAAGGTGTGTCACATGTAAGTGCAGATATCGTAGAATCCAGGAGAGACATCAGACCCCCTGGAGCTGGAGCACAGACAGTTTAGGACCACCTGACGTAGGCGCTGGGGACTGAATTAGGGCCTTCTTGCTCCTAGCACTAAAAGGCTGCTGTTTGGGCCTTTTTTTGAGCAGGGTCCCCTGCAGCCCAGGCTGGCCTCTAACGTGTTACCAGCCTGGACTGTCTTTGCACTCCTGACACTTTTGTCCGTGCCTCTTGAGTGCTGGGGTCACAGCATGTGCCACCATGCTGGTCAGTTTCTGTTGTTATGGTAATTTCTTTTAGTAGTGGTTTTGCACTGTAGATGTTATGTAAGTTAAAATTAAAGTGTGTTTTGACATTATAAGAGTTTATTCAAGTGCGTTGTCTTTTTGTTATTAAGGATTTTAAAATCCCCAGCAGTACAGCACTGAAAACCCCCCTGGTTGCTGTGTTTGAAGATCTGGACACAGAAGTAGAAGAAGAGGATGAGCTGAAGGCGAGAGGTAACGGCCGTTGTCAGCGCCGCTGTGTGGAATTGCCGTTCCGTTAGGAAGCTCCCTGTGAGAAGTTCCGCACCCAGAGCCATCTTAGGAGAGACTGGAGACGAGAGTTAAGAGCATCTGAGAAGTCAGGCCTTGCGAACTTGTGTCTGCAGGTCATAAAATGTGGTTGGTCCAGTGCCAGTCCGTCACAGCTGGATGCCACCTTTGCTAGTCTTGACTGTTGGGAGCCTTTTGCTCTCAACCCAGTTTTGAGTTCTCCCCTGCCTGTGATGGGGTTGCTGGAGAGATGTGACGGTCTTGCCTTAGCAGTCTAAGGGAAGCCAGACTGTGGGGCTGTAATCCGAGCACCCAGGAGGCTGAGATGAACTCTGAGCCACTCTGTTTTACTCCCACCTGCCAAAAAGAGAAAGAAAAAATAGCATACAGTTTTCAAGGGGGCAGCATTCGTTTGGGAAAGCAATCAGGAGGTTCCAGTGGACCTCTTGCCCTATCCATTCACCTTTCAGCTTCTAGACTGTAGACAGTCTGTCAGGATTTCCCATAGTTTTAGGTCTCAGGATTTTTAATATGATCCTTGACTTTGCTGCTTGTTCTTGGAACACAATACTTTCGTGCATATTAGACAAGCACTTTTCCACTGAGCTACATCATCAACCCTGAATTTCATTTACTTTTTTAGCATTGTTGCTGTTCTTTTGCTATGTTTTTTGAGACAGGGTTTTTCTATTATGTAGCGCAGGCTGTCCTGGAACTCAGTCTATAGACCAGGCTGGCCTTGAACTCACAGAGATCCACCTGCCTCTGCCTCCTGAATGCTGGGATTAAAGGCATGCGCCACCACGACTAGCTTATAATTCTATTTTTGGGGTATTTGCTGTTGTGTCTGTGTGTGTGTGTGTGTTGGGACTTAGTAAGAAGAAAAATAAAAACTCAGAGACAGATATTAGGGTTCAAGCTTCAAACTGAAGATCAGAGAAGCAAAGCAGCCAAGCCAGTAGCTCTTATCTCTACCTCAGGCTGAAAGGGCTGACCCAGTCTCCATGAGCTCTCACCAAACCTCAGACTGTAGCCTCTCCTCAGCGTGGCTGGAGAATCAGTCCTTCCTATCCTCAGTGTGACTGGAGAGTGAATGCCAGTTCTGAGGCCCTGTTCCTGTCTTAAATACCTCTCATGAGTCCTGGGTTGCCTTGAACTGACACAGAACCATCTGCCTTCGTCTCCTGAGTCCTGGGATTAAAGTTTGTGGCACCACTGTCTGGATGCTTTGCTATTTTGATCTCCAGTGGCTTTAATAAATCATAAACAATATGTCACCAAAGGATTTGATCTCAGGGGCTCAGAAATGTTAAGTTTGCATCTGAGTTAACATCCACACGGACTGTTTTCTCTTCTACGGGTGAAGTGAATTGATAAAAATAGAGGCCATATAGAAGAGGCAGAGAAGGCAGCCATGCAAAGGGAGGAGCTGCCATGAGGCTTAGCACTGACATCAGGCCAACGGCCCACTTGGGTGTGGTAGGAATGAAAATTGTAATCTTAACTCAAATTAATTTAAAAAATGTATTAAGCCAAGCATAGTGGCACTCACGTTTAATCCCAGCACTCAGGAGGCAGAGGCAGGGGGATCTCTATGAGTTTGAGGCCAGCCTGGTCTACAGAGTGAATTCCAGGACAGAGAGTGCTGCATAATAGACCTTGGTCATCTCCTCCTCCCCAGCCTCTTCCAAAAAATATCAACCAAACAATGTATTCTTCATTATATAACAGTAGGAAAGGGTTTTTGTTTGTTTGTTTTGTTTTTCAAGACAGGGTTTCCTTTGTGTAGCCCTGTCAGTTCTGGAATTTGCTCTGTAGACCAGGCTGGCGTTGAACTGACAGAGATCCACCTGCCTCTGCCTCCCAAGTGCTGGGATTAAAGATGTGCGCCACCAACTCCTGGCATTGTTGTTGTTTTTTAACTACAGAGTTTTGAGGTTAAATTAACAAATCCTTGAATTTATCTAAAGCTTAAAAATTTGTATAGGGAAATATTTTCAAAAGCATGGCCTCTGAGTTATCTAGACTATTGCCTTGTGTTTTCATGTTTTGTTAGTGTTCTTTCCTGTTGTCCCCCCTTCCCCGTCTCCCTGTGTGTGTGTGTGTGTGTTTGAATAGTGTACGCATGCTCTGCCAGTGAGCTAATTTTAACCCTTTCTATAGCTTTAATTTTTGAAGTTGTTCTCAATAAACGTCCAGAAAGTTGTGTCATTCATGTCTTATTGACTGATGCTTGGGTTTGTTCTTCACAGGCCTTACAGGTTTGAAGAACATCGGAAATACCTGTTACATGAATGCAGCCCTGCAGGCTCTTTCTAACTGGTGAGTAGGGAGGGGCGCAGCTCTGGCCCAGCTCATTGCTGCAGTGGGCGACGACTCCCAGCATACAGGGACGAGGACCTGCCTGCGACACCTGTGGTCCCCGGGGCTGCTGTGTGTGCAACTAAGTGTATTGTTTTGTTTTCCTTATGTTAGCCCAGGCTGGCCTGGAACTTGATAGACCAGGATAGCCTTGAATTCCTGATCCTTTGGTTACTACTTCTCAAGTACTGGGATTCCAGGCATCTATAAACGTACCTAGTTTATGCCTGTAGTTTTCTGAGACAAATGATCCTGGTTTAGACTTCTAGGATTATGTCCCTGGACAAAGTATTTGTGTTGTTTTTTGCAGAGCTTGGCCTCAAACTTAGGCCTTAAGCATGCTGTCTACTGGATGACATATATCTCTGGCAAGTGTATTTATGTGCAGATAACGAGGCACTTAAACCTATCAAATACTGAGATCATTTCTAGGTTAGAAATCTTATGAAAGTGTTGTATATATTTCTATAGATGGATCCCTTGGATAGCACAGTTGTATTTTCCTCCTTATTTGTGGCATATAAATTAGGTGGTTATCCTTGATGGATTGAGTGAGGACAGCATTCCGAACCACTGAGTTTGGCATTGTCAAAGCATAGCCTGGGTATTGAGCAATCTTGGGAAAGAGTCTAACCCTGAGAACTGGGAAGAAAGTCTGTGTGGCAAACACAGTTTCTGAGAATTGATGACCTACAGTTCCTTGTGCAGTCCACATGAAAATTAATGTCTTTGGTGGAGTAAGAGAGCACCAAAGTCCTTGTACAGCAAGTTGGCGAGTAATCTGTCTCACAGCACTGGTATATTGCTGGGGATTTAAGATGATCCAAGAAAGAAGAGAAGTCAAAGAATCTGAGTTGCAGAGAACCACTGTGCCTAAGAACAGAAAGAATACTAAGAGGAAAAAAAGCTGCATGAGAGGGATAGTAGGAAAGTACATGGTTGAGATTTGTGTGGGAATGAGGGCAGCTGAACATGGTGCATTTATGTAAGCAGGAAGAGGCTGAGGCAGAATGGTCATGGTTTGAACCCAGCCTCAGCTGAATGGAGTCCCTCCTCCCCTCCTGCCATTTCTTTCCCTTTTCCTGAATCTCTTCTTGCTCCTCACCCTATTCTCTGCTTCTTTCAATGCCTCCTTCTTTTCTTGCTTTCTTCAGATAGGAACTCTTATGTAGCTCGAGCTAGCCTTGAACTCATGGTGTTGCTCCTGCTCCTGTCTCCTAAGTGATAGAATTACAGGCTTGTGCCACCATGCCCACATTGCAAGACTCTTCCTAAAAACAGAAACAAAAACAAATTGAAAAAGAGATTGGGTGTTGTGGCTCAAGCCTTTTATCCCAGCATTCAGAAGGCAGAGGCAGGTAGCTTGGTCTCATTAGTGGGTTCTAGTTAGCCAGAGTGACCTGGTAAAACCTTGAACTTGAAAGAACAATACTCAACTTTATATGGAAAAACAAAAAGCCCAGGATAGCTAAAACAGCCCTGTACAATAAAAGAATTTCCAGAGGTAGCACTATCTCTGATTTTAAACTCTACTACAAAAGTTACAGTAATAAAAAAACACATGATATTAGTTAGTATAAGAACGTACGGTTGATCATGGAATTAAATGGAAGACCCAGACATAAATTCACACATCTATGGACACCTGGTTTTTGATAAAGAAGCCAGAAATACACAATGGAAAAAACGACATCATCTTCAATAAATACTGCTGATGTAACTGGATGTCTGAATGTAGAGGGATACAAATAGATCTGTATCTGTCACCCTGTACAAAACTCAAGTCCAAGTGGATCAGAGACCTCCACATAAAACCAGATACACTGAACCTGACGGAAGAAAAAGTTGGGGACAAAGGAGACAACTTCCTGAACAGAACACCAGTCTTAAAGGCACTAACATTGACAGCTTATAAATGGGACCTCAGGAAAGTGAAAGGCTTCTGTCAGGCAAAGGACACCATTGAAAGGACAAAACAGCAATTTCAGAAGGAGAAAAGATCTTCATCAACCCCACATCTGACAGAACACTGATCTCTAAAATATATCACAAACTCAAGAAACTAAACAATAAAAAGCCCAAATAATCAAATTAAAAAATAGGTTACAGATTTAAATAGAAAATTCTCAGAAGAATCTCAAATGGCTAAGAAATACTTAAAGAATTATTCAGCATCCTTGGCCATTAGGGAAATACAAATCAAAACAACTCTGAGATTCCATCTTACACCTGTCAGTGTCTAAGATCACAAACACAAGTGGCAGCTCACATCAGAGGATGTGGAGCAAGGGGAACACTCCTCCACTGCTGGTGGGAGTGCAGACTTATACAGCCACTATGGAAATCAACACGGCAGTTTCTCAGAAAATTGGGAATCAGTCTACCTCAATACCTAGCTATACAACTCCTGGACCTATACCTAAAAGACATGTGTTCAACTATGTTCATAGAAGTTTTATTTGTCATAACCAGAAACTGGAAACAACCTAAATGTGCCTCACTTGGAGAATGTATAAAGAAAATGTGGTACATTTACACAATGGAGTACTACTCAACTGCGGAAAAAAATTACATGAAATGTGCAGGCAAATGGTAGAACTAGAAGAAATCATCCTGAGTGAGGGAACCCAGATCCAGAAAGACAAACATGGAATGTACTCACTCAAGTGCATGTTAGCTGTAGAGTAAAAGATAACCATGCTACCGTCCATAGACTCAGAGAGGCTGAGTAATGAGGGAGGCTCGTGGATCTCCTGGAAACGGGAATAGATTTCATTGGTGGACAGGGGCCGGGTAAGGGATGGGAGGGATGGGAGGGGGAAGGGTGGAGTGAGAAAGTACTGAGAGAGATGACTGGAACTGAGGGTGAGGTAGGAACCTATCGCAGTGGAAACGCAGGAATCTATGAGGGTGACTCTAGCGAAGACTTCTAGTAATGGGGTATGGAACCCAAACCAGCCGTCTCCTGCAACCAGGCTTCCAGTAGAGGAGCACCAACCCAGCCATAAGACCTCAACCTACAACTTGTCCTGCCTGCAAGATGTGCTGGGGTAAGGTGACACAGTACCTGTGGGCGTGGTCAGCCAATGGCTGGTGTGGCTGAGACCCCTGCCATGAGAGGGAGCCCACCTGACACTTCCTGGAGGGCCAGGACCCCGAGACCGGAGAGCCCAGAGACCCAGGATAGAGCCAAACACGACAGACAAAAGCAAGGGAAAAAGTCATTCCTAATAATAGTCTGCTATACTCACAGGCATAGTTGTTGTCAGAGAGGCTTCATCCAACAATTGCTGGAAACACACAGACCACAACCAAACATTAGGCAGAGCTTGGGGAATCCTGCAGGAATGGGGTAGAAAAGATTGTAGGAGCCAGAGGATGTCAAAGGAATCACAAGAAAACTCACAGAATCATCTAACCAGCGCTCACAGGGACCCACAGAGACTGAAGTAACAGTCAGGGAGGTCCTCCGTATGTGTGTTGTCGTTGTGTAGCTTGGTGCTCTTGTGGGACTCCCAAAAATACTGGGAGAGGAGGCTGTCAGTGACTCTCTTCCTGATTTTGGGACCCTTTTCCTGCTACTGGATATGTGCCTAGTCTTATGGTAACCTGCTGTGCCATTGTTTTGGTCAGGGTTTCTATTGCTGTGGACAGAGCACCATGACCTAAAAAGCAAGTGGAGGAGGAAAGGGTTTATGCAACTTCCGCATTGCCGTTGTCACCAAAGGAGGTCAGGACAGGAACTCACACGGGGCAGGATCCTGGAGGCGGGAGCTGATGCAGAGGCCACGGAGGGTGCTGCTTACTCTTTTTTATAAAACCCAGGACTACATGCCCAGGCATGGCAGCATCACAACAGGCTGGGCCCTCCCCCATTGGTCAGTAATTGAGAAAATGCTTTACAGCTCGATTTCCTGGGAGTATTTTCTCAGCTGAGACTCCTGTCATGACTAGAGCTTGTGTCAGTTAAGTTGGCATAAAACCAGCCAGTAAAACTGACCTCTTGTCAATGTGACACAAACACATCATTGCTAAGCCACAACCCTCCCTTCTCTCTCTCTCTCTGTCTCTGTCTCTCTCTGTCTCTGTCTCTCTCTCTCTCTCTCTCTCTCTCTCTGTCTCTCTCTATCTCTCTCTCTCTCTCTCTGTCTCTCTCTCTCTCTCTCTCTCTTTGTATTGTTTTGGAGGCTGTCCTGGACTCGCTTTGTAGACCAGGCTGGACTGGAACTCACAGAGATCCACCTGCCTCTGCCTCCTGAGTGCTGGGATTAAAGGCACCACCAATGCCCGGCCAACCCTTCCTTTCTTACTCATTCATCCCCAAGATCTCACATTAAAATTTCAGTCCCTTTAAAATAGCCAATTTCTTTTTTATATTCAAAGTCTCTCAACTGTGGTCTCCAGTAAATAAAATAATTGAAATACTCTCTTTAAGAGGAAGAGCCAGGGCACCGTCACAGTCTGAACCAAGCAAGACCAAACCCCAGCAGTGTAAATAACTCCATGTCCAATGATCTGGGTTGTGTTCACAGTCTTCTCAGCTCCTCCAAAGGACGTGGGTCACTTGTCTGGCTCTGCTCTCTGCAGCACGCACAGCTTGCCTTTTAGGCTCCTGCTGGCTGTACCTGACTGCTACTGTGCTTATGGTCGTCCCGTGGTACTCTGGCACCTCCAAAACACTGGGGTCATCTGCTACAGCTGGCTTCACTTTGACCAGTAGCCTCTCACAGGCTCTCTCCATGATGCCAGGCCTCGTCTTTGCATAACCCCTTCATTCCTGGCCCTTTAACTGCGCTGAGACTGCACCTTCACTGATGGCCTCTCCTGACCTCTCCCAATGCCGAGCCTCAGCTCTTCTCCATGACCCCTTCAAAAGCAGACCACCTGGGTGGCGCTTACTCATTAATAAGTCTGGCTGCCAGCATAAGGTACAGCCTTGGCTGCCTCTGGAACATAGGTTCTCTGCACTCTCAGGAAACACTTCTCACAAGATTTCACCTTGATGATGCTGGTGATTAATCACCACTAATTTCTGAGCTCTAGCTGAGCAGCATAGAGTATCCCAGCAAAGCAAAGTTTCACCTTAGTAGTCAAACCCTTTCCTCCCCAACTTGCTTTGGTTATGGTACTTTCTCAGCAACAGAAACCTTAAGAAAGCTGTGTGTGGTTGCTACCCCAGGGAGGCATGCTGGTAAGAGAAATGCAGGAGTTGTGCTGGAGAGAGGGGAGGTGGGGGAGGGGTGGCGGCAGGACTGAGGAACACTGTGGTCAGGATATATGAGAGAAGAATAAATGTTTAACGTGGAGAAATAAATTATTAAGACATAGTATCGGGAGTGACACGTGACAGACATTAAAACCGATGGGTGTTACCTAAACTGGGCAGTGCAGAGGCCTCTGATCTGATGGATCCAAATGTGAGTGATGGAACTTCTTAGCGATGTAAAGGAATGAACATCAGACTGTAAAAGGGGGCAGGACCTAACAGATAGAGGTTGACATGGCTGCCAATTCACTGAGCAACTAGACATTAATGACAGTTCAGCTTTGATTGACTCTTGACATTTCTCTCTTTCTTAAATTAGCCCGCCTTTGACACAGTTCTTTCTCGATTGTGGAGGACTGGCGAGAACAGATAAGAAACCAGCCATTTGTAAAAGTTATCTCAAACTAATGACAGAATTGTGGCACAAGAGCAGGTACGTACTATAGAATCACCTTTGAAAATCACTATTATAAATACGGAAAGCATGCAGACCTTTGTGGAAATGAGATTTGAGTTAGGTCAGGTTTTACATTTGAAACTGAAATGCAGATGAAGGAGCTGTTGCCATTATCAATGTCACCTAGTGATATTTGAGCTGCAGTGTCTGTGTCACTGAGACGTGAGCTGCAGTCAGTGTCTGTCACTGAGACGTGGGCTGCAGTGTCTGTCACCGAGATGTGGGCTGCAGTGTCTGTCACTGAGACGTGGGCTGCAGTGTCTGTCACTGAGATGTGGGCTGCAGTGTCTGTGTCACCGAGACGTGGGCTGCAGTGTCTGTCACTGAGATGTGGGCTGCAGTGTCTGTGTCACCGAGACGTGGGCTGCAGTGTCTGTCACTGAGACGTGGGCTGCAGTGTCTGTCACTGAGACGTGGGCTGCAGTGTCTGTCACTGAGATGTGGGCTGCAGTGTCTGTGTCACCGAGACGTGGGCTGCAGTGTCTGTCACTGAGATATGGACTGCAGTGTCTGTCACTGAGACGTGAGCTGCAGTCAGTGTCTGTCACTGAGACGTGGGCTGCAGTCAATGTCTGTCACTGAGACGTGGGCTGCAGTGCAGCGAAGCCTTCCCCGACCGTGTGCATGACAGCAGCTTAGGTCTAGCCAGCTGCCTGTGCCCTGTGTCTAGGCATATTGGTAATTATTTGATGTGCTATGTTAATTTTGTTTTGGAACTTTTTAAGAAGTTGCATATTAGAAAATGCTGTGCATTGTGAGAGTAATAAAATTCTTTTAAAAAATCTATTTAAAACTGTTTTCTTTTCAGACCAGGGTCTGTTGTACCTGCTAATCTGTTCCAAGGAATTAAAACTGTGAACCCAACTTTTCGAGGCTATTCTCAGCAGGTTAGTTACTCCTTTAAAAAAACAACAACCTTAAACTTCTTTTAGATTTTTTTTTTTTTTTTTTTTTGGTTTTTCAAGACAGGGTTTCTCTGTGGCCCTGGAACTCGCTCTTGTAGACCAGGCTGGTCTGGAACTCACAGAGATCTACCTGCCTCTGCTCCCTTAGTTCTACGATTAACGGTGTGTGCCACCACTATCTAATAAAAATTTTTCTTTAAGACACAGTTTATGGATGGGAAAAGCTCTAGCTTAAACCCAACCTTACATAATATTTTAGGACGTATTTCTGAATTCTAATTGTCACCTGAGGAAAATCCTTATTTTTGTTTCATCTGGTTTCATTTCAAAGCATTGCTTTATTTGCCTAGCTTTAGGAATGCAGTGTGTTACAGCTCTGCCACAGTGTGTTACAGCTCTGCCACAGTGTGTTACAGCTCTGCCACAGTGTGTTGCAGCTCTGCCACAGTGTGTTGCAGCTATGCTGTGGTGTGGGCTACAAACATACTCAGTGTGACTACACACACACACACCAGTCCTCTCAGTGTGACTACACACACACACCAGTCCTCTCAGTGTGACTACACACACACCAGTCCTCTCAGTGTGACTACACACACACACACACACCAGTCCTCTCAGTGTGACTACACACACACAGCAGTCCTCTCAGTGTGACTACACACACACACCAGTCCTCTCAGTGTGACTACACACACACCCCAGTCCTCTCAGTGTGACTACACACACAGCAGTCCTCTCAGTGTGACTACACACACACATAGCAGTCCTCTCAGTGTGACTACACACACACAGCAGTCCTCTCAGTGTGACTACACACACACACCAGTCCTCTCAGTGTGACTACACACACACACCAGTCCTCTCAGTGTGACTACACACACACACCCAGTCCTCTCAGTGTGACTACACACACACAGCAGTCCTCCCAGTGTGACTACACACACACACCAGTCCTCTCAGTGTGACTACACACACACACCAGTCCTCTCAGTGTGGCTACACACACAGCAGTCCTCTCAGTGTGACGCTCTACACACCGTTCACACTGCTTAGGTTCCTCCATGCCTTTGCTCTAGACTGGTAATGTGGTTTGTTGTGATGTGCAGGATGCCCAGGAATTCCTTCGCTGTTTAATGGATCTACTTCATGAAGAGCTAAAGGAGCAGGTCATGGAAATAGAGGAAGACCCTCAAACACTGATGTCTGAGGAGAATGCTGAGGAAGAGAAGAGCCAGTCGGATGTTGATTTTCAGTCCTGCGAGTCTTGTAGCAGCAGCGAGAAAGCAGAAAACGAGAGTGGCTCCAAAGGCTTTGCTGAAGACAGTAATGAAACCACAATGCTCATTCAGGATGAGGACGACTTAGAGATGGCCAAAGACTGGCAGAAAGAGAAGATGTGCAATAAGATCAATAAGGCCAATTCTGAAATAGAACTGGATAAAGATAGAGACACCGTGTGTGAAACGGTTGACCTGAACAGCCAGGAGACTGTCAAAGTGCAAATACATGGCAGAGCTTCAGGTGACAATTTAATAATCAGATTGTGAGATGATAGAGTTTCCTGTGCAGGGAGTGAGCAGTTAACTGATTGTTACTTTTGGAACAACACATTTGTTTTGAGGCAGGGTCTGAGTGTGTACCCCTGGCTGGCCTGGAACTTACCATGTAGTCCAGGCTGTACTTAAACACATCTATCTGTTTCTACCTCTTGAATGCTGAGACTAAAGGCGAGTGCAGCCACACCTGGCTTACTTTTGTGGGATCTTCAATGAATAGACTCGCAGTTTAATGCTATCTGTTTGAAGTGTTGAAATCATAAAATTATGAAACTAAAAGTAAGATGACTTTATGGATCATTTCCTTAGGAATTTATTTTTTCTTTTTAAAAGCAATGGTTCCTCAGGGTTCCTGTATATAGTTACTTAGTAATCTATAAGATTAGTCCTGTATATGGTTACATAGTAATCTAGATTACTCCTGTACATGGTTACATAGTAATATAGAAGATTAGTCCTGTATATGGTTATGTAGTAATCTAGAAGATTAGTCCTGTATATGGTTATATAGTAATCTAGAAGATTAGTCCTGTATATGGTTACATAGTAATCTAGAAGATTAGTCCTGTATATGGTTACATAGTAATCTAGATTAGTCCTGTATATGGTTACATAGTAATCTAGATTAGTCCTGTATATGGTTACATAGTAATCTAGATTAGTCCTGTATATGGTTACATAGTAATCTAGAAGATTAGTCCTGTATATGGTTACATAGTAATCTAGAAGATTAGTTCTGTATATGGTTACATAGTAATCTAGAAGATTAGTCCCTTTGGAATCTTCCCTTTTATTCCAAGAAAATTCTGTTGAGATCTTGAAGTAAAAGAAAAGCAGCCCAAATTTTCTTGCCAGAAATGGGCATCAGATCCCATTAGAGATGGTAGTGAGCCACTATGTGGTTCCTGGGAGTTGAACCTAGATCCTCTGGAAAGGCAGCCAGTGCTCTTAATCAGTGAGCCATCTCGCCAGTGCCCAATTCAAATTTCCTAATCATGCATGTTATACTCCAATGGTTCTCACTATAGACATAGTCAGTATGTACATAAACTTTGTTAGGATATATTATAATATTAGACTGTGTTCCTTTGAGAAAGCACGAGTGAATTTCTTACACACCATGTTTGTCTCCTTGATATGTGGTATTGACTACTCTACCCTCCTTAAAGCTAGATGACTAGGAGGTTGGCTGATGTGGCTCAGTGGTGGAGAGGTATCGCAGTTTGTGTCTGTAGCCACTGGGGCGGCTGCTGAGCAGTTAACTGGGTGCACTGAAGGTGCTTCTTGAATAGAATTGCCGTAGCGTAGGAAGACTGCTGTGTGCCTCCCACCTGGGAAAGCCAGGGTGCATAGCTCTTTACACACTCGCTGTGGGTAGAAGTTCTTAGTCAGCAAATGGCTTAATGTCAGTTCTGATAACCAGACTTCCTGTCAGAAGCCACAGGGAAGCATAGTTCAGGGACAAGCTGCTCCTTAATTGCTTGCTTGTGGGTTTGTTCTTAGCACATAGTAACTAGGTAATGAACTGAAGTAGGTCTGAACATGTTACGTTGTAAACCCTGGGTGAAAAACTATGACCAAGTCCATGTAGTGCTCAGCACCTGAGCTCACTGTCTGCTCCCACAGGAAACACTACCTAGCCCCGAGGCCTTACCTGCTTCTGTTTAGGAAGTCCTGGAACATGGCTTCCACCACCAGTATTCTGCTGTCTTCTTTAGTCATGATTGGCATGTTTTTGTTTTAACTAAATTTGTATTTGTCTTTTGTGTGAGTGTTTTGGCTGCATGTAAGCGTGTGCACTACATGTGTGCCTGGTGCCTCATGAAGCCAGAAGAGTGTAGATTCCCTGGAACTGGAGTTACAGATGGTTGTAAGCCACCGTCATTTGGATTCTGGGAACTGAGCCCAGCCTCTCTGTAAGAGGGTCAAGTGCTCTTAACTGCTGACTCCCCAGCTCCATGGCTGACAAGTTTATCTACCATTTTCCCTCTGCCTCTCCACGTGTTGGCTACTCGTGTTGGAAGATATGCTAGGCACTGTGGAGTAGCATTCATGATTCCCCTCATAGTTAAGTTCTGAAGAGACAGTTTCCTGAGATATATCTTATTTTTATTACAGTAAGAATAAATGCGATTAATTTAGGCCTGAATTTCTTTTGAAGAAAGATTACTTATGTGTATGTGTGTCTGCACTAATGAGTTGTTGCACCTATAAATGTACCACATGTGTTTGGTATCCCACAGAGACTGGGCATGTGACCCTGGAACTGGAGTTGCAGGCAGTTGTGAGCAGTCATGTAGGTGCTGGGAACCGAACCTCTGTCTCTCCAGCTCCCAGTGTCTACATTTCTTGTATGGTTTTGATTACTAAGTTTATTTGGGACAATAATCTTTTCTCGCAGTTAAAAAGTCTGAGGGCTGAGTGGTAGAGCACTTGCTCAGCAAGCACTTCTGCGCTCATGGGCTCCCTCCCCAGCACAGGGAAGAAAAGTTCACGAGAACAAAGCTGTGGGTCTACAGAGGTGGGTCAGCACCCCAGTGCCTGGGCTGCCCTTGCGGGGACCCAGCCTTGGTTCCCAGCACCTCCTGGGGTGGCTCAGCTCCTATACCTCCAGCTCTCCCGGCCTCCGGTAGCATCTAACTCAAATGTACATGTTCACACAGAGACACAGACACACATAATTTGAAAATGTCTTACACAGATTTAGGAACCAGACATGGCGGTGCATGCGTTTAGTCCCAGCTTTTGGGAGGCGGAGGCTGAAGGATCAGGTAAAAGGCGACCTCATCTTTGACCACACAGAGTAGCCAGGTTGAGCTACACGAGACCTTGTATTAAAACAAGCAGTTCCCTCTGTAACTTGTAGGTGGGTTTTTAGAAATTTTACTAAATTTGGAAGGCGTGATCATCTTTGATTTCATATTACCTCTGCTTACTTTGGGCTAACTGTAGCAGTGGTGAGTTAGATCGTATTGAATACATAGGTGGAAAAAATCACTTTATTTTGCCTAGCAAACACTTTGTCAAGTATCTCACGTGGCATTTGTTAACATGTACCGTCTTTACTATATCAAATGCAGGCATCTACGCTAGTTAACTATTGACCACATGGAATCTAACTGCTTAATAGTTTCATTTGCAATTTTAATTGAAGGTAATAATAAAAATTTAAATATTACAGAATATGTCACTGATGTCCATTTGAATGACCTATCTACATCACAGATTCTCCCATCAAATGAAAGTGCTAGCCCACGTCTGTCAGCAAGCCCTCCTAAGTCAGGCAATCTGTGGCCAGGATTGACACCTCCACACAAAAAAGGTAAGGGAGCCCCTCACTCCAGTTCCTCTCTTTTAATTCAGGGGTTAAACTGCTGATTCTGACGCTGATAGAGTGCTATGAAATATGTGGTCTCTTAAAGTTGATAGAGTTATTCAGTCATGGCTAGAATTTTTTGTCTATGGTTCTCTACATTAAACTTTTTCTTACAGTTTTATTCATGTTAATATTTTACATATTAGTCTCTTGCCTGCATGCATGTGTGTGCACCACACGTGTTCCTGGGGCTCAGAGGTTAGGAGAGGGCCCCGGACCACCTGAACTGAAATGGATGGTGTTGAGTCCTCTGTCAGAGCAGAGTGCGCCTACCTGCTACGCCTTTCCGCCATCTTAGTCCCTTTCCTGAGCCTCCAACCCCCTGTCCTGCAGTTTCATAAGGACATTGTCATCCTACCCCCGCGGCTACCCCACGTCTCTGTTCCTGACGCCCCTGAAGCCTGCTTCCTCTTGCTCTCCGTTTTCCAGAGTGCCTGTTATGATGGTACATAGTGTGTGCCTTAGGAAACAGCACCCTGTTTTGATCATGCAGCGTAACGTGTGTAAGAGCTGGCTGCGTTATTGCATATCTGAATACTTTTTTCCTTACCAGCTTTTGTTCAGTTGTATCACCAGAGCAAGGGACTTTATAGATAATACTGCAGTAAACCTAACTTTTTCTTTGTCAAAGGCAAGGCCCGAGGATTGTGTGCCCTGGGTTTTGTGTTCGTTTTATGGCAGCCCTGTGCAGAGCTGCCCGCCTTCCCAGTGTCTGTACCGTCCTGCGTTCCCACCTGCGAGGCTGGTCCAGGGACAGACAGTGTGGTCTAGGCAGGGGCTCTGCAGTAGTCAGGGCTGCGTAGAGAAAACCTGCCTCAGACAGAGCAGTGCTTGCTGGATACAGACATGAAGACATGGGCCAGTGGATGGCAGTGCTTGCTGGATACAGGCATGAAGACATGGGCCAGCAGATAGAAGTGCTTGCTGTATACAGACATGAAGACATGGGCCAGCAGATAGAAGTGCTTGCTGTATACAGACATGAAGACATGGGCCAGCGGAGAGCAGTGCTTGCTGGATAAGCATGACAACCAGAGTTTGTTCTGCAGAACCCACAATAAAAGGAAAAGAATTGACTTTACCAAGTTGTCTTCTGACCTCCATACTTCACCTGCATATACTCTTTGTCCCCACATACCAAACAAAACACCAACTGTAAAATAATTAAAAAGTATCGGGAAAGGACCCTGTCAGGATTTTAAAAGGGGGGAGGGTAAGACTGGGAAGAAATGTTTGTAGACTGATAAGGAACCTATGTCCAGAAGAATATTTATCACAGACCACACTGACAGAATTGTCTCTTCATGTGAGCTACTGCAAAGCTGGGAAGTGCAGTTGGGGCTGCTCTGAAGGAGTAGTGTGCAGGCTGGGCCTCCTGGCTTGTCCTCACATCTTTACCCTGCCTCTCCCGCTGCGGCTCCGTCCTCTGACTTGTCGAGCATAAGTATCCCGGGTGGTGTTCCATTTTGCACATGGAACAGATGAATGAACTGTTATGCTGCTTAATATGAATGAATTCCGATTGCTTTCATGTTCCCCTATGTACATTTTATATGGCCAAGAATCATAAATATTTAAAGCCAGCTCAACCTTTAATTGATTTTTGATTGGCTTCTCTAAGTAATGATTTTTCTTTAAGATTTATTTTTAGTATTCATGTGTTTTTCTGTGTGAACATGCCATATGTTTCCTGCTTATGGAAGCTGGAGAGGATGCAGGACCCCTGTGCCAGAGTTACAGCAGTTAGGAGATGCCCTGTGTAGGATGCAGGACCCCTGTGTCAGAGTTATAGCAGTTAGGAGATGCCCTGTGTAGGATGCAGGACCCCTATACTAGAGTTACAGCAGTTAGGAGATGCCCTGTGTAGGATGCAGGACCCCTATACTAGAGTTACAGCAGTTAGGAGATGCCCTGTGTAGGATGCAGGACCCTTATACTAGAGTTACAGCAGTTAGGAGGTGCCCTGTGTAGGTGCTGGGCCTCTGGAAGAGTAGCAAGTGAGCTGTCTCTCCAGTCCTAAAGTAATGCTCTTGGATTTTTTAAAAGTTTTTCTTTAGTCCAGTAATTAAAATGTGCTATATGTGTGTGGGTGCAGATGCCACAGCATGCTTGCAGAGGTCAGAGGACATCTTGTTGATTTTCTGCTTAGACCATGTGGATCTTGGGGCTCCAACTCAGACCTAAGGCTGTACAGGAAACACTCTTCCTGCTGTGAGCATCTTGCAGGCTGAGTACTTTCTACTGTTACAAGATTCTAAAGATGAGGAGCCCAGTGGCTACGGGTGCACACAGGGTTTAGTACCCAGCGGTTACATCAGGGCAGCAGCTTCTGACTCCAGCTCAGGGAATCGGTCCAGTGCTCAGGGAATCAGAATCTTCTGATTGCCATGGGACCCACAGGCACACACACAGATGCCTAACATACACATAAATAAATAAGTCTTACAAAGGAAAATATTCTGGAAACAGGCAAGCATGGGACCACTCTTCTAATCCAGTAACGTAGGGAGATAGAGACAAGAGCATCAGCATGCAGAGTCGTCTGTCATAGGGAGAGGGAGACATCAGCATGCAGAGTTGTCTCAGTCATGGTGAGTTTGAGGCCAGCCTGCACTACGTGAGATCCTGCCTTGAAAAACAAAATCCCAAGACAATGCAAAAATACTTTAGACAAAAATATCCAAGAAATTAATGTTCTTTTTAATGTTCTTTAATTCTAGCTCAGTCTGCATCTCCAAAGAGGAAAAAGCAGCATAAGAAATACAGGAGTGTCATTTCTGACATATTTGATGGAACCATCATTAGTTCAGTACAGTGTCTGACGTGTGACAGGGTGAGTACAAGGGAACCGTGGCAACAGAACATGTCTGTCAAATGCTGTTTGTAAAAGCCCGGCAAGGTCTGAAGAATTAAATTGCATATTGCTGCTGCAGACCATGAATGCATCTCTGTTTGTGTCAATTGTGCATTGACTTTAGGTGTAGACAAAGGGTCTGAGACATGACCTTTGTAAAGGATGGTGGGCTCTCTGTTTGTTTTGGTTACATACGAAGGTGAGAAGTTGCTTGGCAACAAGAAGTGTTAACTACTTATTCTCCCAAGGGTGATGAAATTAGGTATGCCTGGAAATTGTTGTGTTTACAAGCAAAAGATAGTAAGTGTGTTTCTTACAGACTTTATATAGGGAGCTTGTAAATGACATAGGTGCTTTTTCCTGTGAATGCCAAATTCACAAACACAAGAAAAAAAAACTGACACAGGCCTATCTCAAACATGAACTAAAATTATTGTGAGGGTTTGACCAACACCTAATCCTTCGGAATTTCTTGGTTTTTCACTTTAGTGCACTAATGAGTATAGTTAGTGAATGTGAAATAACGTCTCAGAGACAAGAGAGAAGTAAGCTTTCAGTTACTGTATCGGAATGCTAAGTCATTTTCACATAGATGGGATATTACCCAGAAATGTTTTTACTTGAGTATATGGGTCGTGCTGCAGTTAAGGACTGACTGCGTGTGACTGTCATGTAGTAAGAGTCTGTCACCAAAGGCATCGTAGTCCTCTTAGTGTGTGGTGTTTACGACCCATTGTCTCCTGAAGCAGTGGTCTCCCCTGGTGTATCCCTGCTGTTAAACGCTGGGCAGTGTCGGGTTTGGTTTCCTCTTCATCGCCTTTAAACAACGTTAGAGATTATTTTCAGCCTGCAGCTTCTGTATTTGGGCAACCGAGGGGAGAGAATGACAAGAGCACCAGCTTGAGAACAGCCTGGATGATGTAGCATAGAGTAAGACCCAGTCTTCATGGAGGTGGTGTTCTGTGTATATTTCTCTAGTGGTTCATGGGTAAAACACTGTGTGGCTAGTGGCCAGGAAGGAAGGATAGGCGGGACTACCAGATGAAGAGAATTCTAGGAGGTGTAGACACAGAGGAGTCATCATGTGAGCCCAGGAGGAGAGGACCATGTAGAAATCATAGATCAGTAGTTGTGGGTTAATAATTAACACAGAGCTAGCCAATAAGAAGCCCAAGCCACTGACCAACAGCTTAATAATATAAGTCTAAGTCTTGTGTGTTCATTTGGGGCAAGACCACTCCGGAACCGGGCGGGAAATCCCGCAACACAGTCCCGTGGTGTCCCCTTCCCCCATGCTCAGAGAGTCTGAACACCAGTCTTGAGTGCCCAGGTGACTGGGTTTGCTGTGCTTCTTAACATGGTGACACCTCTGATCATGGAAATGCTAGTGGTTTGTTGGAAGATTACGTCTGGAGCAGCACCTGGTACACGGCAAGCCAGCCTCTCTTGTGCCTGATTCTAGAAGCAGTTTGTTTGTGGTTTATATTTGCGCATTGTAATAACTTGCTTTCCTCTTTGGAAGAAATCTAGTGTTATAAATAACTGTGCTGGGCTCTTTCCATCCTGTTAACACAAACCCTTGCAGGTGTCTGTAACCCTCGAGACCTTTCAGGATCTGTCCTTGCCGATTCCTGGCAAGGAAGACCTTGCCAAGCTGCACTCCTCCAGCCACCCAACCATAGTCAAAGCAGGGTCGTGTGGTGAAGCGTATGCGCCACAAGGGTGGATAGCTTTCTTCATGGAGTATGTGAAGAGGTGTGTACTCACTTCCTTTGCTTTGACTGATTGTTGACACTGCTGCTTCTGCTAGCAGAACACTTCCTTTTTCTTCTGTCAATGATGTTTCAGGTTTGTTGTCTCATGTGTCCCTAGCTGGTTTTGGGGTCCAGTAGTAACCTTGCAAGATTGTCTTGCTGCCTTCTTCGCCAGAGATGAACTTAAAGGTAAGAAGTGTAATTATATTTATGACTGGGTTTTGGTAGGTTTAGCTAATGCTGTATTTTTGAACAGCTTAAGTAGTACTTGCTTGTATTTGCGTGGAGGCACCTTCCATGCAGTGGGAATAGGATGAGAAAAGTCATGTCCTGAAGGAATGTGTATAGACTTCTCTAATGCAAACGACCCCTTTTGAAGTTCCGTGACCCAGAGAAAGGAGAACTCATGAAGACAATGGATGTCAGATGTGTCTTGGATTGTCTTGACATCTTCAGCTTCACTGAAGGTCCTACATTTTCCTTGTGTGTCCAGCATCATATGCCAGCTTGGGCGTATGACAGGGTTGTTAGTGAATTCTGTTTAGTGGATAAGTGGAAGAGACTGTCTCTTGAGTCAGTCCATGGACTGAAAGGAGGGGGAGGATGGTGATCGTGGGAGGCAGACATGAGTTGTTGACTGTCGCGTGCTGTGAAGTCCACACTGGGCACATCTGGGGCTGCGGAAGAGTTTGCTGCTGATTAGATGAGTGACTAGATCTGTCCTGTTTGCAGGTGACAATATGTACAGTTGTGAAAAATGCAAAAAGTAAGTAACATTGTGTGACATGAGTTAATAAACACCCAGAGGCTGCTATTGGGGTTCAGGCTGAAGATCAGAAAAGCAAAGCAGCCGGCCCCTAGCCCTCACCTCCACCTCAGGTTGAAGACTGATCCACACCTGAGCTCTTCACCAAGTCTCAGACTAACCCTCCCTCAGCGTGGCTGGAGAACAAATGCCTCTCTGAGACCGTGCTTCTGTCCTATATACTTCCCTAATGTTGGGATTAAATGTGTGGGCTGTAATTCTCTTTTAGACGGACTCACTCTTGTGTAGATCTGTGTGGCCTTGGACTCACAGAGATCTGTATGCCTCTTAATCCTGAGCCCTAGGATTAAAGGTGTGTATCATCACCTCCTAGCTTCTGGCTGCTGGGATTAAAGGTGTGTGTCACCACTACCTGATCTCTATAACTTGAGGCTGACTGCTTTTCTGAATCCTCAGGCAAGCTTTAATAAGTCATAAACAATATATCACCATACATTGCTTTCAGTTTCATATTTTGTATTTTTCTTGGTTATCTGAACTGGGCACATTGGAGTTATACTTGATGCTATGCCTGGAAAATTATAGGCTAGAAAACCTTCCTCCAGTAATAAAGAGATTGGTTATTTTGTAAAATACGTTTAAGGTAAATGTTTAGCGGTCCGATGTAAGATGTTATTAAATGTGTGGATTTTGAGGAATGAGGTGAGTTTGCATTAACTGTATTATGAAACACAGTGACTCTGCTTTGGATTGCCATGGTAACCACAGAGAGGTCTGCTATTACAGGGCAGAACGACAGGATGACTAAGCCTCGTCTTGTTCATGTCTACTACCAGCTTCCTTTTGTGTCTTGTAATAGTTTTGACTTTCAAAACCTCTTTTTGGGTTGCGTGTGGTGGCACACACCTTTTAATCCCAACACAGAGACCTGCCAAGTTGGTCTAGGTAGTGTGTTCTAGGCCGGCCAAAGTCCACAACTGCAGCAAACACAAAGAAACATCTCTTGATGATGTCAGAGAAAGTGAGCAGACTGATAAAGGCAAGTGCCTTTGATGCAGAAGAACTGGAAAATTTTATGAATCTGTAATGGAAAAATATTGAACTGCTAAGAAAGATTGGAATCTTTATTTTTCATTTTTAACAATGTTTGTTTATGTGTAGGGGTACTTTGTCTGCATGTATGTGTGCAGCAAGTATCTGCCCGGTGCCCATGGAGGCCAGACAAGGGCATCAGATCCCCTGAAACTGGAGTGTGGGTGCTGGGAACTGAACCCTGGCCTCTGACAGCAGCCAATGTTCTCAGCTTCGGAGCATCTCTTCAGCCCCAAAGCTGGAGTCCCAGTACAGCCCGAGATGCTGCCGCCAGTCACAGCAGATGTGTCTCCTGTTGTCCCTTATGGTAGAATAGAGTGGAATAATGTTTAACCAATAAGTGTAAGCATAATATATAAATGCCTGTCTTACCCATGTAGAAAGGTTTTGTTTGGTTTGTGTGAAAGCCCTGTCTGACCCTTGAAAAGAAACTAGAAAGGTAACCGTCTGGAAAGTGTCTGTCTCCTGTGTAGCTACACGTCAGGGAGAAGAGAACGGTGATGAAGGAAAGAACCAGTGTTCACCCCAGTTCCCAGTGGGCCTCACAAGTCTACATTAACAGTGATTAATTATAATAATCACTCTTTGGTTCCAATTTTCTCCAATGCTGAAGAGTAAAGGTTTTCAGTCTAGGTGTGATATTGACATATTATGTCATGCCATGGGCCAGCTGTGGTAACTCACGCCTGTAATCCCAGCTCTTAGGAAGCAAGGCAGGTGGATCTCTGTGAGTTTGAGGTCAGCCTGGTCTACAGAGTGAGTTACAGGACAGCCAGGGCTATGCAGAGAGACCCTATCTCAAACAACCTAAGGTTTCAGGTGTGTGGTCAGTGTTGATAATTTCAGCACTAAGATAGGAGGGTTATAAACGAGCTGTTATCTCAACACAAATTAAAGAGTAAATATATGAACTCAGACTACTGATCTTGAAGAGTTGGAGTTTGCATTATTCAGTTATACTTAATATCTGCTTGTTATAAAAGTATAGACATTGGCCCACTTTAGTGCTAATTTTTTAAATGTACCCCAGGCTGGCCTTGAGCTTGTTCTGTAGCTGAGGATGAGCTTGAATGTCTGATTTTCCTGCTCCTACCTCCTGAGTACTCAGACTGTAGGCATGTGCTACCACGTTTGACCCACGTAGGGCTGGGGGTGGAATCCGGGGTTTGTGTATGCCAGGCAAGTGTTCCCAATATAGCTAGTCCCTATTTTTTAAAAAATCAAAGCATTGTTCAGTAACTTTTAGCTTTTTATTAATATCTTATTGTAAGTTATTTTTATGATAAGGGCTATTAAGACTATTTAGTGTCTAAATATTGCTATTCTGATACCTTTTTTCTTGATATTTTCTGAAAAATTTTTGTGGTTCGTTTGAACGAAATAAACGTGTAGATTTATTAGTTTTTCTCTTTTGCCTTTAGGTTGAGGAATGGAGTAAAGTTCTGTAAGGTGCAGAAGTTTCCCGAGGTAGGGTGTCACTTTCACCTGTTTATAAAACGTGATGTATTACTGTCCCCAGTAAACTCAGCATGGCTGGAACATGGAGTAGCTATCCAATGACTTGTCACACACTCCTTCAGGATCCGTCTTCGGAGGCTGGGTTAATAGTCACTAGTGCTGGTGAGCATGTCATCAGACTTGCAGGGTCTTGCAGGTCTGAAGGTACAATCAGAAAGCAGTCACGCTGCTCACTCTGCCACATTGAAAGGATATCTGGGTTCATGTTAGAATTCAGAATGATACTTAACACTCCTACTTAAATAATACAGATACCTCAGATACTGTATTTTGGGATGAGCCAGGTATGGTGGCTATGCAGATCTCTTTGAGTTTGAGGCCAGCGTGGGTCTGTAGATTGATCGGCCAGCCATGACTACATTGATAGATGTTGTCTCGTAAAAATGAAAAACAACAACAAAACACCCCAAACCCAAAATACAATATTTTAAAATAAACATTTAAATTGCTATGATTTTATTTGATTGTATGCCTCATTTTCTTGCTTATAAAATAAAACTTTATTTTACCACTTGTAGTCTTTTCTGATAGTTAATTTGGACGTCTAACTATACTTTGTTTTAGATTTTGTGTATCCACCTTAAAAGATTTCGGCACGAACTGATGTTTTCTACCAAAATCAGCACCCACGTCTCCTTCCCGCTGGAAGGGCTGGACCTCCAGCCATTTCTTGCAAAGGATAGCCCAGCCCAGATTGTGACATATGACCTACTGTCAGTCATTTGTCACCATGGGACCGCAAGCAGTAAGTGCCAAGCCTTGACATTTGTTTTGGTTTTAAAACATGGATCTGAGTTGACTGCTTAGTTAAGTCCCACTTGACCAAGTGAAAAAAAATCTAAAACCAACTTTAAGTCCTTACTATTAGAAAATGTCAGACTAATAAACATTTAGGAAGACAGTCAGCTAGTTCAAACAGGTACCAGAAATACAGATTAGCTATCTATAACTTGACCTTAGAGGCAAACATCTAATGCCTGCCAAATTCAAGGCCACCCTGGGTCTAGCATAATAATAAAAACCCAGAAACAGATATTGGGGTTCAGATGTCAGGCTGAAGATCAGAGAAGCAAAGCAGCTAAGCCAGTAGATGTCACCTCTACCCAGCTGAAATGGCAGTCCTGTCCCCAGAAACCCTCATAGTTCCTGTCTCCTCCTCCTTGTATTCCTTTCTCCGCCCAGCCATAGCCTCCTGTCTCCACCTCCCTAGTGCTGGGATTAAAACTGTGTGATCCCAGGCGCTGACATCACCTTAGTGTGAGCTGTTTCTTTTAGGACTGGATCAGTTTCATGCAGTCAGTGTGGCTTTGAGCTAACAGAGATCTGTCTACCTCTTAATCCTGAGTCCTGGGACTAAGGTGTGGTCACCACTGCCTGGCTTCTATGGGTAGATAGTATGGCTGCTTTGCTACTGTGATCTCCAGTGGCTTTAATAAATCATAAACTATATGTTACCATACCTGGGTAGCAGAGTCAAACAAAGAACTTCCCAAGTTTAACGCAATGATGATGTAAGTTGCCTTAATTATGATCTTCTCTCCCATAAATATGTACAATTGTACAATTATTATATGTCACAGGAAGCATTTGTGATGTCAAATTTTAAGACTCTTAAGTATTTTCCCTAGAATATTTGGAATAATAGAAATTAGTTATAAGAACAAATGGTAACAGCTTTAACTGGGTGGGTTTTGTACAGGGTTTTCAGAGCTACATGGTCTAAGGTGAGTGTGGTGGAACACACCTATAATCTCAGCAGTTGGGAGGATTGTCATTTCAAGACCAACCTGGGCTACAATAGTGAGACCTTACCTCAGGACTACAACAGTGAGACTTTACCTCAGGACTATAGTAGTGAGACTTGACCTCAGGACTACAACAGTGAGACTTTACCTCAGGACTATAGTAGTGAGACCATACCTCAGAACTACAGTAGTGAGACTTTACCTCAGGACTACAGTAGTGAGACTTTACCTCAGGACTACAGTAGTGAGACCTTACCTCAGGACTACAACAGTGAGATTTTACCTCAGGACTACAGTAGTGAGACCTTACCTCAGGACTATAGTAGTGAGACTTTACCTCAGGACTATAGTAGTGAGGCTTTACCTCAAAACAAAAGTACAGGATTAAAATTCCTGTGCTTTCTGTCCTCCAGAGACTGTGCCGGGTGCAGACTGACACAGTAAAATCACAGATGTCATGTAGGTGTGACATGTGGCACACTAACAGGCTCTTTTCCTTGCAATACAGGTGGGCACTATATCGCCTATTGCCGCAACAATTTAAATAACCTGTGGTATGAATTTGATGACCAGAGCGTCACTGAAGTTTCAGAGTCCACTGTCCAGAACGCGGAGGCCTACGTCCTTTTCTATAGGTGATGAGGAATGTCATAACACTGAAGAACACCTCTGTAGGGATTTGCACTTCTGAGACTTGGGGGTTTATGCGTGAGGATTAGAGTAAGACTTACAGAAAGATCTCTGTTCAGAAAATGATGAAGTCAGACAGGCAACAATACATTTTGTTTTAGAAAGATTGTTTTTTGTTTGTTTTTAGCACTGAAGTTTAAAGGTTCACCTAACTTTATTTTATGTATGTGGGTATTTTGTGTACTGCAGTTTGTAGAGGTCAGAGAACAACTCCAGGAGTTGGTTCTTCTGCTGTGTGGGTTCCGGGAATCGAACCAGGTCCTCTGATTTGCAAGCCACCCTTATCTGCTGAGCATTTCACTGGCCCACGATTAGCTTTTTTGCTTGTTTGTTTGTTTTTTAATATAAAGTTGGAGTTAAGAACATGTCTCTTGAAGTTCCTTAGGGCTGATAGGATCCATAGTGATAGTACGCATTTTAGCCCTAACAAAGGTGGAGGGGCCTCTGCCTGTCTAAGGTAGTAAATGTTTGACATTAATGAGTGCTGTCCCCACAGGAAGAGCAGTGAAGAGGCCCAGAAGGAGAGACGCAGGATATCCAACCTGCTGAACATAATGGAGCCCAGCCTCCTTCAGTTTTATGTGTCTCGACAGTGGCTAAATAAATTCAAGACCTTCGCTGAACCTGGCCCTATTTCAAATAATGACTTTCTCTGTATTCATGGAGGTAAGGAGTGCTGTGTGTAAAACAGGGACAGAGGGTTGCTGTTAAATAATTTGCACATTAGGAAAGAGCCAAGAGAGAAAGAATTGGAGAGTCACCATTAAAAATGACCTTATGTGTTGGGCGGTGGTGGTGCATGCCTTTAATCCCAGCACTCAGGAGGCAGAGGCAGGTGGATCTCTTGAGTTTGACGCCAGCCTGGTCTATACAGTGAGTTCCAGGACAGCCAGGACTACACAAGGAAACCCTGTCTTGAAAAACTAAAAAAAGAAAAAAGAAAAAAAAAAAAAAAGAGAGAAGAAAGAAGGAAAGTGCTTGCCTTGCTTGAGTAAACTCCTGAGTTAGTCTTTAGCACTGTGAAAGTTAGCCTTTGAAAGTCCTATAAAGAAATTAAAGAGTAAAAATTAAGTGCATTTGTTAATTATTATTACTTATTTATTTATTTTTAGGTATTCCTCCACGAAAAGCTAGTTATATTGAAGACTTAGTTTTAATGCTGCCTCAGAACATTTGGGATAACCTCTATAGCAGGTTTGTTCTTGAAATCCAACGGGATAGTATCATAAAACAAATTGAGAGTAGTTACAAAAGTGTTGGGTTATGTCACATATACCTATTTGGTGCCTATGAAGAATCTTCTTTAATTTATTCATTCTAAAGTATGAGGAGGAAGACTTCTAGTTAATAGGGCTCTAGTCTAAGTAATGGGAATTTTTATGATTATCTGCAAGATATGTTGCAGTATATAACTTTATGTACCTTATTTAAAGGTTGTCACATTTCCCCAATACTAAATTTTTCATAGTTGTACACTACAAAAATGGGATGTTCTTGTTCCCAAATTTTAAGCTTTGAAATGTTATTTCCATACTAAGCTTTTGAAATTAAATATTAGAAATGCACTCAGTGAGTGCTTTTTACTTGTGCATCATAAGACTGCATTTGATTAACATTTGCTTGCATAACTAAGAATTGTTGTGCTAAGTTTTGAGCCCCCTTCCTTACTGTCATCTAATGCTGTAGCAGACATAGCTATAAGAGAAAGTTGAGGTGTAGATAAGGCAGGGTAGGTGACACATTGATAATGCTGTCTGCCCTGAGAAACATAGCATTGGGTTTTTATATGACTTTTTTGTATTTTACTTTAGAATTTTCCTATAGGATTTATTCTTTAAATTTTTCATTATTTTTTGAAAGTTATTTTGTGTATGTGTGTTCATGCTATGGAGGTGGAGATCAGAGGACAACTTGAGGTGAACAGTTCTTTGATTCTGTCTCTTGGGTTCTGAAGAACAAACACAGGACTGAACTTATTGTAAGGCCCGCTGAGCCATCATGCCAGCCTCAGGACTTACTTGTAACCGGCAATTTGCACACTGGCTGAAAAGGCAGAGACAGTTTGCTAGGACACGAGCCTGCTCTGCAGTTGTGACTTTCGCTCTCCACTTGATGCTTAGGTATGGAGGAGGACCCGCTGTCAACCATCTGTACATTTGTCACACTTGCCAGATCGAGGCAGAGAAGATTGAAAAAAGAAGAAAAACTGAATTGGAAATTTTTATTCGGGTAAAGAAGTAACACTTTCAAATTGTAAATGATATAAGATAGAGATGGCGATCAGACAGTTGTTAGTGAACGATGGTGAGAGAGTTGCAGTGGGTGTCAGGTCCTGCCTGCACAGCGTGACAGGCCCTGCTTAGTTCTCCACAGTTCTAGGCCCTGCTCACTTCTCCACAGTTCTAGGCCATCCTTAGTTCTCTATAGTTCTAGACCTGCTTAGTTCTCCACAGTTCTAGACCCTGCTCACCTCTCCACAGTTCTAGGCCATCCTTAGTTCTCTATAGTTCTAGACCCTGCTCACTTCTCCACAGTTCTAGACCCTGCTCACTTCTCCACAGTTCTAGACCCTGCTCACTTCTCCACAGTTCTAGACCCTGCTCACTTCTCCACAGTTCTAGGCCTGCTCACTTCTCCACAGTTCTAGGCCTGCTCACTTCTCCACAGTTCTAGGTCCTGCTCACTTCTCCACAGTTCTAGACCCTGCTCACTTCTCCACAGTTCTAGACCCTGCTCACTTCTCCACAGTTCTAGGCCCTGCTTAGTTTTCCACAGTTCTAGGCTCTGCTCACTTCTCCACAGTTCTAGGCCTGCTCACTTCTCCACAGTTCTAGGCCTGCTCACTTCTCCACAGTTCTAGGTCCTGCCCACTTCTCCACAGTTCTAGACCCTGCTCACTTCTCCACAGTTCTAGACCCTGCTCACTTCTCCACAGTTCTGTTTCTCTTCTTCTGGTGCATGCTCTTGTGTTTTCTGTGCATTTGCCATTGCAAGAATTCTTACTCTGCATATTTTATGTTTTCTTATTAGCGTTGTCTGTAGTCTGTTCAGGCTGCATCTGGTCATGGTTTTGATTGCTAAAGGGAGCTGCATCTTCGTTCTCAAAGGGTCTGGATCCTCAATAGTCTAGTTGTTAGATTTCTGTAAGGTTAAGTTTTAACGTCTGGTTAAAGATTATAGAAATACTGAATAGTATCTAGTCAATTGAATGTTGGATCCTAAAAGGATTTTCCATGTTGTGCCTTCTGTGAATTGGCCTTATTGACAAATGTGACCGTGGATAGAATCTTTGCATAGGATTCGGTTGGAATCATCCTGAGAAGTTTTGTTGAACCTAAATGGTCAGCGTCCCTTCAGGATACACACAGAAGGAAGAGAATGCTACGGAGGGACGGAGGGTAGCTGAAGTGACCCAGCCACAGGCAGCCCTCGAAAGAGTGAGAAGTGGTCTCTCTAGGTCTCCAGAGAACAGTGTTCTGAGCATTTTGATGTTGGATGCTTGTGTAAATAGACTTCTTAATTGGAATAAAAACTCAGAGTCAGATATAGAGGGAAATGCTGAGTGATCAGAGAGAAGGAGCAAGCTATAGCCATACCTTACCTCCTTAGTGTCTCAGCAGACAAGAGAGTGAGTTCCTGTTTCTCCCTGCTTATATCCTGTTTCTGTCCAGCTACCTCACTTCCTGTCTGTCTGCACAGTCCTCCAGACCTTTATGGTTAGCTAGGGGCAAGCTCCATTCTCTGGCTTTCAGACATTTGTGCAAGCGAGATGTCACCACATGCTTGTCTCCAGAGCTTTGAGAAAAGAAATTCCCTTTGCAGTTACCAAGTTTGTGGTCATTTATCATGGTGACACTCTATAGCAGATGCATGGGAATAATCTCTCATTTCTATTTTTTAAAGACAAGGTCTTTTTGTTGTTGTTTTTCAAGACATAGTCTCTGTGTAGCCCTGGCTGTCCTTGAACTCACTCTGTAGACCAGGCTGGTGTCAAATTCAAGATCCAACTGCCTCTGGCATGTGCCACTGCCGCCTAGTTTAAGACAAGTCTTTATGTAGTCCTGGGTGGCCTGGAACTTGCTGTGTAGACCAGGCTGCCTCGATTCACAGAGATTTGCTTGGTCATTCCTCCCAAGTGTTGTGGTAAACAGAATGTGCCAGCATCCTTAACCTAATGTCACTGTGGTTTTCTAGATCTCTTTGCTCCTGTCTGTGTAGCCATCATTTGTGTAATTACAGTTTGTAACTCAATCATATAGCTGAGTTTAATCATTTTAGCAGTATTTGAGCCCTTAATTGCACTTTCCCAGTTGGTTCCGTGATTTGAAAACACAGTATAGTCAAGGGACTGACTGTATCAGGGGCCAGTCCCAAAAAAACTGCTTTCTCCCTTTGGAGCTAACCAGTAAAGTAGTAGACGCTAGAGTCTGACTATCAGAGCAGTTTTTGTGAGTGTCAGTGTAGGAAGTTACAGGTGGGTTTTCTACATCTTTATCCACTTGTTAGCATTGTAAATTCTAGAGATGGGAAAACAGGTTACTGATTTCCAGTTTGGGGCATATACCACATTATGTAGAATACCCTCAGGTCTGCAAGCTGTTGCTGTGAGGTACAGAAGTTGAGTCTTTGACAGGCTAGCAGCGTTTGGGTGGTAGCATTTGGTGAGACAGTGAACCTTATGGATAAGAGCCCTTGCTTGTCTTGACTTCTCTGCATAAGATGAGTCCATGGTCAGAAGCAATGTAGGTGAAATCCTGTGGCAGTGATCTTTCTTTGAGAATTTCATACATGCATGCAGTGTATTTGCAACGTTTACCCCAGCTCCTCCGTAGTCTACCCCTACCCCTCACCTGTTTTCTCTCTCTCTCAACACATGGACTGTGTAGACCAGACTGGTTTTGAACTCTTAGAAAGCTGCCTGCCTCTACCTCCTGAAAGTCCTAGGATTAGAGGCATACTCCACCACTCACCCACCCCTTAAAAAGAAATAATCCGCCGATTCCAGTTTCTGCTTCTCGTATACTCATGGGTGTCAGGCTGTCCATTGTAGTATGGTCTACCTATTGGGAAACAATATCCTTAAAGGAAACTTTCTTGGGCTGGAGAGATGGCTTGGAGGTTGAGAGCATTGATGGCTTCCAGAGATCCTGAGTTCAGTTCCCTGCAACCACATGGCAGCTCAAAACCATCTGTAATGAGATCTGGTGCCCTCTTCTTCTTGTGAATCAGAGGGATCCAACTGGTCACCAGGCTTAGTGGTCACCCAGGCTTAGTGGCAAGCGCCTGCCTAGATTTCTTTCTTATTGAGACAGGGTTTCTGTATCTCAGGCTGTCTTTGAATGTCCGCTCTTCCCACATTTACCCGCAGTGTGTGGGGATTATACGTCACCATGCACAGGTCTTCATTTCTTTAGAACCACCGTATGTAGACCCAGAAACTTTCCTATCCTGTTTTATGGTTCTTGTGTAAATAGCTTCTGAGTGTCCCCGGAAGATGCTTGCCCTCAATGGACTTGAATTTGGTTAGATACGAAAGGGTCATGAGCAGCTGGGCATGGTGGATCATGCCTGTAGAGACATCCTTTGGAAGGTCTGAGCAGGGTGTCTGGGATTCAAGGCCACATGGGTTACATGAGATACTTCTTAACCCTCCCTTTAAAACAGCTATAGGAGAGGACGAAGTGCTGAGTCAGGGTTAAAGAACTTGAGAGCAGTGTGAGGAGCTGAAGTGCTCCAGACAGGTCTACCTGGGTGGAGTTAAAGACAGGCTTGTCGGGCATGGGAGAGACAGTCACACAGACAGTTGTAAGAGTGTATGCCTGTGTGTGCGCTCATGTACGATCATTGCAGAAACCTGAGAATCAGGAGTGTATCGGTCATTTCTGGGCATAACTGGAAGTTTGCTCACTGATTACATGTGGAAACAGGGACTAGAAGCAGTCAGCTCATGGAGCTCTTCTGAACTAGGACTGAGACCTTTGGGGCTAGGTGTGGAGCACTCTTCTAGATTCAGTCCCTAGACTGCATAAACATGGGTGCATGTGTGTAACCCTAGCACTTGGGAGATAGGAAGATGAGACCAACCTGAGACAGATCCAGCTGTCTTTAAAAAAAGAGAAAGTGGAGCTGGGTATGTAGCTCAGTGGTAAAGTTGTTGGCTAGCAAACAGTTGCGGGAGAGTGTAATGTCTTCCAGGATTTTTTTTTTTTGTAATTTCATGTGTGAATACAATTTAGATCATACCCACATTTTCCCGCTGTCTGCAGCTCCATCCGGACTTCCCTCCCCGGTCACGGGTTTGATTAGACTTAGTTGAAGAATCAGGGCTGTTTAGGTGCCTCTGTGGGGAAAGACTCTTGGTGCCAAGCAGGTGATCTGAGTTCTCACGTGGTGGAAAGGAAAGAACCGACTTCTTCCCGTTCTCCTTCCTCTGCATGTGTGCAATGGCATGCACCAGGGCAGGGACACACGTGTGCTCGTGTCCGCACGTCTCACACGCACGTGCACACACACACACACACCATAAACGTTTTCACTGAAGAGCTGTCCTTACCTAGGATATGTCGACAGGCAGGAGATGCTGCTGTAATTGGACCAATTCCAAATGCCCCTTGTTCTTCGGAGGGAGGCCTGTTACTCACATGTCTTCTTGTATCAGTGCTTGTAGCGCTTGATCTTTCCTTTTTAAAGTTAACCGTGGGGAAGTATTTTAAAAAACATGAAGTATTTATTGGATACTTTGCCTCAGTCCTCTTGTCTTCCCCTGTTATTTTATGCTCCTCTTTTGCATGTGCTTGTTTTATTTTGAGACATAATCTAGAGTCATTTATTGACAGACTACACTCTGTATCCTAGAACTAAGGTAACCTAGTGTGTCAGTCTTAATGTGTGTGTATGCATGTATGAGAAATTGCCTGTTAGATGCTGCAGGAGAACACTGCAGGTTCCAGATGCTAGGTGCCTGATTCTCTCTCTCAGCTCAACAGAGCGTTTCAAGAGGAGGACTCCCCGGCCACCTTTTACTGTATCAGTATGCAGTGGTTCAGAGAGTGGGAGAGCTTCGTCAAGGGCAAGGATGGAGGTGAGCGCTTAACTGAAAGCTTATTAGATATCTTCTTGTTTATTAATGTTATGAATATTAAAGATTATACCAGTGAACAAAACAAAAAGGACCCATGACTTCAAGGAACTTATATTCTAGTTTATAGTCTTACTGCTATGAACTTATAGTTATTACTTATGGCAAGAATAAAAGAAGTGAACAAAACATGTCTGTAACTTTAATGCCAGTAGCTAGAGAGGTGGCTTGGCAGTTAGGAGCCCACGTTGCTTGTCTGGGGACCTAAGTTTAATTCTCAGCGCCTATGTCGGTCAACTCACCACTACATGCTACTCCAGCTCCACGGGAATCTGGCACACTCTAGAATCCACTGGCACTAGCACACAAACCCCACACGTACAGATTCATAAGTAAAAGTAAAATTAATCTTAGTGCTGAGGTGGACATTTGTGAGTTCAAAGCCAACCTGATCTACATACTAAGTGCTGTGTAAGAGACTTTATTTTAAAAAGATCACCCCACACACACACATAGAAAAAAAAAAAGAAAAAAATTAAGATACTATACAACAGGATGGTGAGTAAATTATAGTTTATCCAATACTTTTTTTTTTTTTTTTTTTTTGGTTTTCTGAGACAGGGTTTCTCTGTTGCTTTGGAGCCTGTCCTGGAACTCACTCTGTAGACCAGGCTGAGCCTCGAACTCACAGAGATCCACCTGCCTCTGCCTCCTGAGTGCTGGGATTGAAGGTGTGAGCCGCCAACGCCCGGCTATGTTTTGTTTTTCAAGACAGGGTTTCTCGTGTAACTTTGGAACCTGTCTGTCTTAGAACTTGCTCTGTAGACCAGGCTGGCCTTGAACTCAGATCTGCCTGCCTCTGCCTCCCAGGTGCTAGATTTAAGGAGTGTGCTACACTGCCTGACCACAATGTGGACTTTTAAAACTAATTATGTATAATAATTTGAGTAGAAGGCATGCCTTCAATCCTAGCACTGGGGAGGCAGAGGCAAGGGTATCTGAGGAGTTAAGGGCAGCCTCTTCTACAGAGGCTGAGGCCAGCCAGGACTATATAGTGAGAATGTATTTCAATACCTCTAGAACTAGTACTACTAATATTAATTTGAAAATAAGATGTTCTTGATATGTTAAGTTGATGCAAAAAAGTGTATATTATTTGAATCCTTTGGTTTATTTTTCAAGTTAACCAACATAGTGATGGACTTAATTATGATATTTTCAAGCATGTATGCATTATGCTTTCTTCTCTTAGTCTTCCTGACTGCCCTCTTCAACTGCTTTTTTAAACGATGTATTGTGCAGAAGTGAAAGACCACACAGATATTAAATCCATATGCCTATTTTCTGTAAGATTTTAGTAATTTTTCTTCCTTATGCCTGCTGGCAGCTTCTGAGAATGGACAAGTACTGTACTTTCATGGCCAAAGAAAAAAGGCTTCTTGATATTTCATTTTATACTGATATTGGTTTAAATAACCAGTTTGGAACTTACTGAGAATTGTTTTTTATTATTATAAAGGGTTTTTTTGTAGCATTAAAAAATACTTGATCTGCAGTTCTCAAATGAACCGTTAAGAAATTGTTTCTGTTAGGTCTTGGTGCTGAGTAACCTCTCACCTTTATTGGTTGTTTCGGGTCAAATGAACCCAAGCCCGAGAAGACACTTAAAATAGATGGTATTTGTTAAGAACAGCCAACTCGGTTACATTGGCAGTCCTCAGTCATTTCAGCTATAAAACTGCATAGTTCTTTTCAGCTTTTCTTTGCAGTGTTCATCTTACAGTTCCTTCCTCCTTTGATTTAGATCCTCCAGGCCCGATCGACAACACGAAGATTGCAGTCACTAAATGTGGTAACGTGACGCTCAAGCAAGGTAACTTTGTTCCGTACACACACACACACACACACACACACACACACACACACACACACACACACACACACACACGGTATCATGCAGCCCACACTGGCTTTGAATAACCTACGCAGCCGAGAATGGGTTTAACTTGTGATCCTCCTGTCTCTACCTCCCAAGTGTGGGGGTCGCAGGCATGCACCGTCATGCTTTAGAAACCTTTACTTTTGACAATTTCTGATTTAAGTCCTAACCAGCTATCATGCTATTTTTTTATTAACCTAATTCAAGGATATTCAGGTTTAGAGTAGACCACAGGGTGTGAAAGCAGTGTTATTTGTGGGAGGTTTTAGAGTTGCAGGTAGGAGCTAGGGGTATGGGTCTCTAGACATGTAAAAACATTACACGTTGTTCTTGTTCTGCAATATAGACACTCATGTCTGTAAACACTCTTCTTCCCACACATTTCAGGTGCAGACTCTGGTCAAATCTCAGAAGAAACTTGGAATTTCCTGCAGTCCATATATGGTGGAGGGCCTGAAGTCATCCTCCGGCCTCCAGTTGTTCACGTTGACCCTGATGTAGCACAGGCAGAGGAAAAGATTGAAGTGGACACTCGATCTCTGTAGTTTTGAGGGCACAGAGCTCTAACAACGCACACACATTCGAAACATTCCTTAAAGCATGTCTGTCTCTTTGATTTTCATCTTGTGTCACATTTATTTCTTTGTACTGGGCATTATGGGCGGGTATGTGAAAATGTGTAATATAAGTTGGTAATATTTAATGTTAATTACCATAATGTCTTTCAGTGAACTGTTTTGAAAGGAAAGGGACACTTGGTAATTAGGTTCTCTGACCTTTGTCCCACACGCAGATCCAGGTAACCTCCTTAGCACTGTAAATACTTCTTGAAAATTTTTTCATTGCCCTAAGTCATCATAACTGGCCAGTCTTTTCAGTTCTCAAAAAAAAACTAATTTAATTATATAATTTTGACATGGCTTTGCATAGTAAGGAGCCTATTTTTAATTTAGAGTAGTGGTCAGAAAACTGTTAATTTCCTAAAGCTCAGGAAACATTAGGGTGTTACTTATTTTGCACTGCAGCATAAAATATTACATATTGAAATTTATAAAATGTCTTTTGAATGTAACAGGATGTACTTAGTTTGAGTGGAATTTGTCACCAGATTATCAGTAACTTATTGCCTCTTATAATGTAAAATGTTAAACTTTAATTCTATAGACCTGAATGGTATTCATTAATGTCAGTAACTAAAAAATAAATCTTAGTTTTAGGACACTTTTTATTTTGAGAGCATGAAGTATGGAATGTGTCAAATGAGATTGTTGATAAAGCTGAAACAACTTGCAAAATGATTTTTTAATGAAATGCATAAAGTGTTTCTGAATCCTAGAGTATGCACTGCTGTTTGCTTGATTATGTGATGTCAAAAGCTTAACTATATTCCAAGTCCAGACATGCCAGGTGACACTGAGGATGTGGAATGGCTTTGTTTCTGTGTGGGGTAGCCTCACCATCTAAAAGCAATGCTGTTAAAACTCACTCAATAAAAATGATTTTAAGATGTATAAACTGAATGTGAAATTTATGGGATAGACTTTAAAATAAGGGCATGAAGTTATGTCTTATTGAAAGCATGCAACAAAGTTCTTTGCTATAGTCAAGTTTATTAAACCAGTTCAGGATGGGCAGCACGGTGGTTTGCGTCTGTCTTCCAGTACTCAGGAGGCTCAGGCAGGCAGCCAGTGTGGGCTGTGGAACAAGGCTGACTGAAATAGCAAACTATAAACAATCTATCAGTTGTGGGTTAAGGAAGGGTAAGTTCTAATTCTAGCACTTTTTTCCTTCAGTGTAGACTCTTAGCATGTGGAATGTTATCATGTTCTGATGTGGATAACAAGTGTCTCTTGTTGAAGTACCACCCAACTGGGCATGTCCATGAAATGTGATGTGGGTGTCATACAGGGTGCCAGCATCACCCATGGGCTACCATTGATAGGTGCATTCTGAGTGGGCTGAGAGGTGTGAGACCAGTGGGAGGGAGCAGGTCACTCGGGGTATGCCTTGGAATGCCGTAGCCCCTTTATTTCTGAGGCTCAACAGTTTTTCTCAGCCATTATGTTTCTGCCTTGTCACAGGTCTAAAAACAGTGGAGCTGACTACCACGATGTATTTATCATGGAGTTACACAGGCCAACCCTAGAATTCTTCAATCTGAGTGGGGAATATTCTTCAGCATTTCAAACCAGTACTAGGTGCTTTCAACGTGTCCCCCCCCCCAAGGGTCCAAGAATCCTGAAGGAAGAACCCAGACTGGAACAGTATGTATAAACAAAGAACATTTATTCTGTAGAAACTACAGCATGTGAGGTTGACCACTTGTACAGAATGGTGATCCTGAAAGGAGCTGGCAGGTTCCTTTTAAGCACAGCTAGGGGAATCCAGGAACAGTTAGGTTATCTCAAACATGATTGGCCAAGAAGGCAACAGTTACACTAGCGTACTTTTGATGGCCTGAGGTTAGTTTTACCATCATTGGATGTACTCGGCAAGTCAGGGGTCTACAGAATTGTCCTTATGTGGTCATTGCTTTGAGACACTGGGGGTGGGGGGAACAGGCCTTGTGTCTCTCCCTAGTCCCTGCTGTCAGGGGTGTTGTTGATTAATAGCCCTGTGTTTAAGACACTGAAACTTAGGCCTGACTTGTAAAATGGAGGAAGTTTAGACCTCTCATACCCCTCTTGAGATTGGCTCCACTTCGAATCTTTGAGACAGGCCAAGGGGCTGGTATTGGGACCTGAGGATCATTAGCTGAGCTGTAGAAATCCGTTCTTTAATGAGAATGCAGGGGCCACATATTAAAATGAGCAGTAGCAAGATCATGGGTCCGACTATTGCAGAAAGGTGAGCCAGGGGAGAGGGATCAATTAAACAATGACTCAAAGTGTTGACCCTGTTGCTGGCCAGTTCATCTTCTGTAGTCTTTTCTCAACCAGTCAGAGTTCGCTAACAACTCCAGTGTGGTTAGCATAAAAGCAGCATTTCCCACCAGGGCTGCTAGAGAAAGAAATCTAGGCCACGGACTCTGTAAAGCTGCTTCAGCTAGGAAGAACGGGAGGCTCTAGGTGAGCAGTGGATTTTCTTAGTTCTAAAAGGTCCTTGTCAATGGCCTCTCTTGGCAATAGTTTTTGTCCTGTGATATGAGGGCTGAAGCTCCCAGACCCGTTGAACAGGCCATCCTTAGACCCAGTAAAGTTGAGACCAGAACAACAGCATTTCCACAGCCTGTTTATGTCTGGTCAGAGAAGAGGGAAGAAGTCATGTTTCTATTTCCTCATCAGTGTAATAAAAGAATGCGAGATGTGGACTGAACCAAGACCCAGAATTATCTGAGAGTGAACACGGGGAGCCTGAGGAGTAGGACTGCCAGGCATTGTCAGGGGTTACCAGATAGACGGCCTGACTACCTTTGGGGATGATGGTCTCATTACAAAGGTCAACAGTCAGGTGTTTACGACCATGTAGGTTGCCTTTAGGATGTCCCACGGAGTGGATAGGGTCAGGGGAGCGAGAACAGGAACCTCAGACCCAGGATGGGTCAGGGGGACCATTGTGGCAGGAATTTGTGGCCTTTGAGGGGAAACCTGTGCTTGGGATGCCAACTGTTGGATGGGGTTGGGCCCCAGCAGGATTCCCTTTGGGTTAAGTTTGGACAACACGCTGCAATATAAATGCCCATCCATAATCAGACTGTTTTTGAATATAGCCTTAGCCCCCTGGTCTTTACCCCTCCCATTGTGGGGTATCTTTTCCTTTGTGTGTGACCTGAATCATAAGTGGGTTACAGGTAAGGGAAAGAAAGGTTCTTGTGTAAACTTTGGTGACTGTTATAAGGTCGCTTTTTACAGGTGGGTCCCATGGATAGTCCTGGTTGACTCACAGCCCCATTTTGCACAGTAATGACCCTGTGAACCGCCACAATTGTTGGCTTGGGATCAGGACCGCCCAAGTGTCCTGTCTCAATAGGCACATTGGTCTTTGTGAAGGTGTGGCATGATCTCGTGGCCAGGTTGCCCGCAGGAGCAAGGCCACTGTAGTGGAATCTGCCTGCCTCATGGTCTTGGTCTGGGATCGGGTGTGAGGGGGACTCACCACACCTTATTACCACCCCCTGCTGAGTCCTGGGGCTGTTCATGGCAGCTATCTGTGGGCTCAGCGCAGGAAGGCAGGTACAGCTCTCCCACAGTTCTGCTGCTTTCACCTGCGGCACGAAGAGCTTCACCCAAGAAGGGGGTGGCGCTCTGGTGGGACCTGCTTGGGATGCCCAGGCTTTCCATACAGATGGGAGAGAGGTGGAAGTTGCCCCTTTCTGGGCACCCTACACTGAAGGTCAGTCACTCATTCCTGCAGAAGAGTTTCCCCGGCAGTACAAGCAGCCCAAGATCCCACATCTGGTGTTTCAAGTCCTTGAAATGTGACTTGAGTAGGTCCAGCGGGGTGGAGCTCGCTGCCTGTCCCATGGTAATATGCTTTAAGTAAAAGACGGGCCGGGTATCGGTGGCGCACACCTTTAATTCTAGCACTTGGGAGGCAGAGGCAGACAGATCTCTGTGAGTTTGAGGCCAGCCTGGTGTACAGGAGCAAGTTCCAGGGCAGCCTCCAAAGAGAAACTCTGTCTCGAAAAACCAAAAATAAATAAATAAAAGATGAACAAAACACACACCCACACACAGAAAAACCCACTGGAGTCTAGAAAAAAGACAAACACATCCACGGACAGACGAACTGGAGTCTGGAAAATACCAGAAAGACACAGGCAGTGATCCCACAACTGGGCTCTGTCAGACGGGAGTGACCCATCGGTGTCTACCCAAACCAAAGTCTAAGTGGAGCTTTCCATCTCTGACAGACTGGAGCTCTCCAGTCCCACCAGAGGGGAGCCTTACGGCTCCAAAAGGGGGTGGGGATGGGGATCCAGAGTGTCCTTGGAACCCCCACCCTGGCTGTAGGCCTGTAGTGGGGTCTGGCCTTGCCAGAGAACCTTAAGAGTCACAGCTTTTGTGCGTGGTTCCAGGTGCAGACATGATTGCTTTAAGCATGCTCTCTGGCCACAGAGCATCGGAAGGGCAGAGAGTGCATCTTGTGGAGCAGGAACGCGGTGGCCTTACAGGTCCAGCTGCTGGAAGATTGCAGGTGCCATCATCAGCTACAATATAATTGGCACTCTGTATTGGGGAAGATGTAACTTTGAGTTGAATTGGAAACTAAACAAATACATGGCCACTTCGATGATTTAATAAGTTAGTAGCAATTGAAAAGAAACCACACGGGGGCTGGAGAGATGGCTCAGAGGTTAAGAGCACTGGCTGCTCTTCCAGAGGTCCTGAGTTCAATTCCCAGCAACCACATGGTGGCTCACAACCATCTGTAACGAGATCTGGTGCCCTCTTCTGGCCTGCAGGGTTACATGCAAAGAGAACACTGTATACATAATAAATCTTAAAAAAACAAACCAAATAACCACAGGTACCCACTTGCTTGGAAAGCAAAAACAAAGGCACTGAGCAGTACTGTTCCAAAGAGCCCCAATTAACAGATGCCACCGGTGGGCCTGGTAGTTTTGGAACATAATCTAATAGCCAGAGCTCGGAAGTGACGGTGTAGGGTGATAGCGATGCGGAGAAAATGCTTGTGTCCACTACTGAAGGTGGGCATTACTTTCCTGCGCTCCCGATATGGTATGTAATTAAAGGCAGGTGTCAGGACTCACCCGTGAGCTTCAGCAGACTAAAAGCACACGCTGAGCCACAGAAGCCATCATTTTCTTAAAAAAACAAACAAAAAACTATTCGTTGAGCCATACTGGGAGCTAGACACGACTGTCGGGGGGAAAAGGAGGAAAGTTAAGACGTCCTGCCCGTGGAGATACTACATTCTCGGTGGCGAGAAACAACGGGGACGAGCGCGGTTTAAAGGACGCAGGGTAGGAGCGGGAGTGACGGGGAGCTCTGGGACGGCGGGGAAGGGTCCTGCCCTAGGCTGGAGGTGGGCACCGCTGTGCTGGGGCTGCTCTCGGTCCCCGGGGCCCGCCGAGCTCCCGCAGGAGCGCTGCCCGTGCCCCCGCGCTGGGAGCCGGCCGGGTGTGCCCGCTCGCTCGCCCGCCCTCCGGCTATCCCGCCGGCTCGCCCGCTGCCCCTCTCCCGCTGTCCCGCTGTCCCGCCCGCCCGCAAGAACGAGACCGCTGCACTCCCCGCGGCCACCGGCAGGCGGCGCCGCGCGCGCCCGGCACTGCCCCACCCGCCCACCACGCGTCCTCTCGCCCGAGGAAGGAGGGGACCGGAAGGAGCCGCCGCGGCTGCGGGAAGTGGAGGAGCGGGAGGCGGGGACCCACCTGGAAGCGCCGCGGCGCCGCTGTGGAGCTTCCTGCGGCGGAGGGCGCTCGAGCCAGCGCGCGGCGGGGGCCCGAGGGCGGCCACGCGGGCGGCGCCTCCCCGAGCGGCCCGGCGCGGCGCGAGAGGTGAGCGGGCTTCCCCGTCCCCCACGGGGGGCGTCCGGCGCAGGGGCCGGCGGGG